GATCCGTTCGACACCCCGTGATCACACAGGTTGATATGTTGTTCCATGTGGGCTTTGTTGCTTCTGAGCTAGATGGCCGCTTGTTTACCTTCACAGCTTAAGCAATTCTCCTGCTTCACAGTGATAGCGATAATTTTGGTACTTCAAGTTGCTAAAATTTTCGGGCTTAGGAAAATTTGAAGTATTTGCTCTAATGACCTACAACTAATGACCTTGGCCTTAAATCAGAAAATAGCACTGTATACATGCCTGGCATGCATGGGTTCCCAGGGCCTTGACAACAAGTGGACTAAATTAAAATAGGCCCATTAAGGTCACATCAAAACAGATCTATCATACTCAAGACTGATTTATACATATGACTCTAGATAAGTTGTGAATGTTGAGTGGGGCATATTTAGACTATTAACCAGAAATATCAATTTTATAAAATTAAACATAGATTTTGAAAATATCCAGCTACTTTAACATTGGGACTCCAAAAGAGAATTTGCTTCTAGAGCGTCCCCTTATCACCTAGGACAATTTCAAGCCCTTGCGTATCTCTGCCCATCCCCCCACCATGACCCCCCTCCCCCCTCGTCTCATACCTTGCTGTAGCTTCCTCTGTGTTGTCCTGGCTTCACTTAAGAGTCGATCACTGTCAGAACTCAGGGTCTTGGCTTTTCCAGGAAGATCTCCCTTTATCACTGTCTGAAAGCAAAGTGTTTGTCAGCCTTAAGCAGATGGAATATGGAGTAGGATTTTCTCATCCTATCCTAAAAGCTGGAAGAATGAATCTAGGGAAATTGGAAGTGATCAAAAATGGGATGGAGTATGAGCCCCCAACAAAGTGATTTTAAAAAGAAGAAAAAACAAAAACAAGAAACTGGAATGTATAAAGATCAATATATATGTGGGAGTGGGGAAGGAGCACCAGAACTGATAGTGATATCACACAATACATTTTAAAGGCGATTTAACCATCCGGGAGGTAAAAAGAAAAGAAAATGTTCTAAAATTGATCATGGTAATGATTATACAACTCTTCTCAATATGAGTGAACTGTTGAATTGTGTGATATATGAATTAAGAGCTCAAAAAACCTGTTAAAAACAAGCAAGCAAATAAAAAATAACGATCAATATCCTAGGCATAAGTGAGCTGAAATGAATGGGGCTTGGCCATTTTGAATCAGGCAGCCACATGGCATCCTCTGCCAGGAATGGTACAGTCAAGAGGAACGATGGCCTTGCATTCATTGTCAACAAGGACATTGAAGATCTATCTTGAAGTACAATGCTGTCTGTAATAGGATAATATTTTTTGGCGTACATGGAAATCTAGTCAATCTGACTATTATTTGAATTTACGCACCAACAACTAAAGCTAGTGAGGAAGAAATTGAAGAATTTTACCAAGACTTCATTCTGAAATTGATTAAACATGCAATAAAGATGCCTTGATAAATACTGACGAATGGACACAGTTGGGAAACCTGTGGTCGATTGGTAAAAGTTGGAAACAAAGAGGAAGGAACCGTAGCTGGAAAATATAACTTTGGGGTAAGAAAAAGAGCTGGAGGTTGTATGAGAGAAGTTTGCAAGACCAATGACTTCTCTATAGCAAACACCTTTTTCAACAACACAAAAGGCAACTATACACCCGGACTTCTCCAGGTGCAATACACAGAGATCCAACGGACCACATCTGTGGGAAGAAACACTGGCGAAGCTCAAAATCAGCTAAAGGGAGGCCAAGGGTTAACTGTAGAACCCACCATCCACTGCGCACATGCAAGTTTAGGTGAAGAAAATGACAACACGTCCATGAGAAACAACGGATGACATGAGTCTATGCAAGCTGGATTTCAAGAACATCTCAAGGGCAGATTCGCTGCACTGAACACTAAGGACAGAGGAGTTGGTCAGCGGCAGGATGACATGGAGAAGCGCCTACATGAAGAAAGCCAAAGGCCATTAGAAAGGCAGGAAAGGAAGAAAAGATCCAAGTGGATGTCAGAGGAGTCTCTGAACCTTGCTCTTAATTGTAAAATAGGCAAGGCGAATGGAAGAAATGATAAAAAGTTCAAGGGGCAGCTCAAGAAGACAAAGTCAAATATTATAATGAAAAGTGCAAATTCCTAGTTAGGAAACTAAAATGAAAGAACACGCTCAGCATATCTTAAACTGAAAGTACTAAAGAAAAAATTCAAGCCTTGAGATACAATATTGAAAGATTCTATGGGCAAAATATTGAACAACGCAGGGAGCATCAAAAGAAGGCGGAAGGAATACACAGATTCACTTTACCAGAAAGAACTAGTCAACATCCCACCATTTCAGGAATTAGTCTATGAGCAAAAACATCCAAGCTGTACTGAAGGCATTAGCCCAAACAAGGATCCAGAAGTTGGTGGCATACCATTTGAAATATCTCAACAAGCTCAGGAAGCACCGGCAGTGTTCATCTGCATATGCTAAGAAATTTGGAAGAGGGTTACCAGGTCACCTAACTGGAAGAGATCCATATTTGTACCCATTCCAAAGAAAGATGATCCAACAGAATGTTCAAATTAGAGCAATATCATTAATATCACATGCAAATAAAATGTTGCAGCAGATCATCGAGCCACGGCTGCAGCAGTACATGGACAGGGAGCAGTCAGATTCAGAGGAAAATGTGGAACAAGGGAGATCATGGCTGATGTCAGAGGAATCTTGGCTGAATGCAGAGAAAGAGGTTTACTTCTGTTTGACTGACTATGCTAAGGCATTCGATTGCATGGACTGAGAAGAATGGGAATTCCAGAACATTTCATTGTCCTGATGAGGAACCTGTATGTAGATCAGAGACAGCTGTGAAAAGGGAGCAAAGGAATGCTTCATAGTTTAAAATCAAGAAAGGTGGGCATCAGAGTTGTATCCTTTCACCATACTAATTCAATCTATATGCTGAACAATAATCAGAGAAGCTGAATTATATGAAGAATTGTATCAGGATGAGAGGAAGGCTTATTAACAGACCATGATTTGCAGATGACACAACCTTGCTTGTTGAAAATGAGGAGGATTTGAAGCACTTGCTAATGAAGGTCGAAGATTGCAACCTTCAGTAAGGATTACAACTCAATGTAGAGACCAAATTTCTCACCACTGGACCAATAGGGAACATCATGATAAATGAAGAAAAGGTTGAAGTTGTCAAGGATTTCATCTTGCTTGGACCCACAATCAATGCTCATGGAAGTAGCAGTCAAGAGACTCAATGACACATTGCATTGGGTAAATCTGCGCCACACGACCTCTTTAAAGGTGCTGAAAAGCAAGGATGGTACCTTGAGGACTAAGGTGAACCTGACCGAAGCTGTGGTATTTTCAATAGCCTCATATGTATGTGAAAGTTGGATATTGAATAAGGAAGACCGAACAAGACTCAATGTGTTTGGATTATGGTGCCGGCGAAGGATATAAACAGTACTAATACTGCCAAAAGAACCAAGATGTCTGTCTTAGAAAAAGTACAGCAGAAAGTTTCTTAGAAACAAGACGGCCAAACATCATGCTTTGGACAGTGTCCACAAGGCCCTCATGCTCAGTAGACGGGCAGCATAAAAGGGAAAGGACCTCAACCAGATGGATTGACCAGTGGCTGCCACAAGGGGCTCCCACATAGGAGCAATGATGAGGACGGCGCAGGACTGACTGGTGTTTCATGCTGTGAGTTAAAATGTGCTGGTATTGCCATTTTGAATCAGAAAAAGTATGAGCTACTGTGCCAGGGGTGACACAATGATTGAATGAATGGTGTTGTGTTCATTGTCAAAAAGGACACTGAAGATCAAGGTTTATAGCCTTCAGTAGGGATCACAACTCAATGTGAAGACCCAAATCCTCCCAACTGGACCCATCGATAACACCATGATGAACAGAGAAAGGGTTGAGAAGTTGTCAAGGCTCTTGTCTTGCTTGGGTCCACAATCGGCGCTCATGGAAGCAGCAGTCAGGAGATCAAGACATATCGCATCAGGCAAATCTGCTGTCTGAGCCCTGTGTAGTCTTGAAAAGCAAAAAAGTTACTGGACTACGGTGTGCCTGAATCAAATCCACGGTATTGTCAATGGCCTCAAATGCATGCGAAAGTTGGATACTGAATAAGGAAGACCGATAAAGAATCAGTGCATCTGAGCTATGTGTTGCGAAGCATATTGAAAGTATCATGAACTGCTAAAAGGACAAACTGATTTGTCTTGGAAACAGTAAGGTCAGCGTGCTTCTTAGAGGCCTGACATACTTTGGGACATGTTGCCAGGAGAGACCAGTCCCTGGAAAAGGACATCCTGCTTGATAAAGGGAAAGTGGAAAAGAGGAAGAGCCACTACTAGATGGATTGGTGGACACAGTGACTCCCAGAATGGGCCCAGGCATCAGCACAATCGTGAGGATGGTGCAGGCCGAGGCAGTGTTTTGCTTGGTTGTACACAGGGTCACTATGGGTCAGAACAGACTTAAGGACCACAACAAGAACAACAGTGCACACCGAAAGGACCTAAGAAAATGTGCCATCTTCCAGAAATGCAGGTGCCCACCTGGAGAGCCGTCTCAGATGCGCCCAGGGCCCTGTTGGCTGCATCCTCAGCTGCTTTGATAGCGTTGAGGATGTTCTCATAGGCAGTAGCAGCATCCACTGCACGGCGCACCAGCTCATCCCCACTGGCGTTTCTCTTGATCCTGGAAGACAGAATGGGTTGAACCTTCGGGCAGCCCTCCCCTCCCTGGAGCCCAGGCTCCCTGAGACTTCTCATTCTCATTCTCCTGGCCAATCAAGACCTTCATCATAGTGCACTTAGCCGCTCTGCCAGCCCCAATGGACACCACTCTGAATGAGCTCGTTGGCTGCTGGTCCCATTCTGACCTGCCCCTGGTTCCAACAGCTGGGCTTAGCCTGACTCCCGCCTCCCTCCCCCTGGTCTGGAGGCCCAGCTAGCAAAGGGGAAGCATTCGTGTGAGGCTCAGGACCAGGCTGCCCACCAGCAGCACGTTCCCGGTGGCCATCTACTCACTCTTCCAGCTGCTTCGCCAGCTCCTGTAAAGACTGTGCGTGCTTCTCTGCCTCCACCACGAGGGACTCTTTGCCAGCAGATTTGGAAAGTTCTCTCACTTTGTCACTTAGTTCTTGTCTTGCTCCATTTAAGGTGGCAGCTAATTTTTCATAGTCCTACATTCCCACATAAACCAAGACAGTGTAAATTTAAGCAAAGGCCATGTATACCATTTTCTTGAACGCTGTCATAGAGGACATTGTCCCAAGAGACAGCAACGAGAAATGATGTTTTCTAAACCCATTTACTAAACCAACCAATCCTTGGTTGCTTCTGATGGTGGCATTGCAAATATTCCCCCATGTCTGAGGCATTTTCCGCACTCTCTTGATGGTAGTAGGTGACCTCATTGATAACATTTGCAGAAACACGCTGTTGTTATGCGAGAAATATAGCCCTAAGCCAAAGAACTTTTTTTTTCTGATTTGGAAATAACGAGCTGCTAAGAAATTCTGTAAATCTTTCATCAGTCCTATTTATACTTTCTATTAGTGAAAATATTCCTGATATCTTAAAAGCAGCATCAGATTTTTCATTATAATCAAAGCAGAACTGACTTATTGCAGACAAATTAGAGAAAAGATCTCATTTACACCCCTGACTTCATGACTAGCATCTTAGTATCTTTCTTTCCACTTACAAGACACATACTTTTAAAGCCCATCTCATCGTTTCATTGCAATAGAACATGCTTTTAGCGTTTGTAGGGAACTGGTGCCTCCCCTACCTCCTGGCTTTTCCCCATCAGCTGCAGCAGGCTCCTGGTTTGCAGCAAGGCTGCATCTGCAGTGGTGAGATACTTCATAAAATTGCTCTGGAGGGAATTCATTTCTTTCACTTGTCTCTGGAGAGCACACAAAGCATAGGTCCTTGAGCCGCGCGATATATTATCAGGATACAGAGACAGCACATAGGCATTTCAGAACCAGACTGTTTTCTTGCGTGTGTTGACTTACAGGTCACTCAGACACCCACAAAGTGACGGGAACCCGTGTCTTTGCAGTGGAGGGGTGCCAACCCCAGTGGGCTGAAGCTCGATGCCAGCAAAACGACCCCCATGACAGAGGAAGGAGGTTTCTACACGCGGGGTCCCCTCAGCCGAGCAGATGGGCATATATTCTAGCTTTAGTTTGTGGAACAGAATGAGGAAGTTGGACGGAGTAAGCTAGCACCCACCATGTAAACCAAGTGAACTAGCACACTGCAGTGCCACTCCGAATGGTGATCTGGCAGTGAGTTAAATGAGAGAGGGCACACAATTTGAGAGTCCATGCTCGGCTAGAAGGTTCAGAGCCTCCTAAATTTGGGTCCTGTTCCCTTTCCAGGGTGTAACCAGTGACATGGAGAAGTCTTCCCCAGGTATCACAATTTAAGGAGGCTTGGGAGCCAAGCAGGCAGTCATCTGCTGACAGTGGTTCTCAACCTTGCTCATGCCGCAACCCTGTAGTACAGTCCCTCAGGCTGTGGTGACCCCCTCAACCATAAAATTATTTTCGTTGCTATTTCATCACTGTCACGTTGCTACTGTTATGAATTGGATGGCCCCGTGAAAGGGTCGTTTGACCCCCAAAGGGGTCACGACCCAGAGGTTGAGAACCGCTGTGCTAAGATCTTGATTTTGTTTGACCCGGTACTTCTTTTGGGGGGATTATTCCTATGTTACCTACTTTGGCACTGTGGTCACTTTCTGTTGTGATTGTTTCAGGTGCTGTTGAGTTGTTCTTACTCACAGAGACCCCGGGTAACAGAGTCGAAGAGCCCCATGGGGGATTACCCACAGGAGCAGATCACCAGGTCCTTCTCCCCTGGAGGCATGGTGTGGGCTCCAACCATCGGCCAAGCACCGAACCATCTGTGTTACTCCCTCACACTTTTGCCGTGGTTATAGCGTGTGGTGCTCACCACCGAGAATATATGCTATAGAGCCTCAGCTCTAAATTCTGTCCTGGAAGCCCCTGTAGGCAGCCTGTATTTTAATTTATTTCCTGTAAAGCAGGTAATGGCTTAAAATGACTTAGCTAGTGATTATGGTAATGATGTTTACACATAACTTGTTATTTAAACATACAACATGCGTTTTCAGTTAATTACAATTAGTTCAATTTCACAGCTAGTTGGCTATATTATTCCTCTCAGCCTCTTTCAGCCAGGGATGAGGGTGAGGCAATTTTGTCTGTGGTTTACATCTGGAATTTCTTTTTCTGGTAGCTGAGAAATAGAAACAGCTTTGGTTTTCCATTTAGTGCCTCATCCCTGGTGGACTATCACATTTTTGAAAAGAATGCATCCATGTAAATACTGGATACACATACAACATGCATAGCACACGTAGGGGGCTATATGGTTTACAAACGCTGTCTATGATTACATTGTAGCACATGATATGGTTACAAGCACAGGAGCTTGAAGTGGTCCAACCATCCATGTGTAAGAGGAGGCTCGAGTGTTGCTAGGATACCAAACAGGTTTCAGTGGAGCTTCCAGACCAAGATGGACTAGTAGTCAAAACGATCTAGAGCCCTACCTACATCCAAAATGCAGCCAGTGAAAATCCGCAGACCACAACAATTACAGCTGGTCGTGAGGACAGCACAGGACTAGTTTCCTTTCCTCTGGCGTACCTGGGTAACCATGAGTTGGGCCTTGCTCGGTACCAGATAACAGCACCAACCAGGCTGTTATCTGGTCAGGGCCCTGAGGATGCTAGCCAGTTGAGATAAGGCTGCTTGTTTCCCCCACTCTCATCCTGAATGAAAGCAGGTGGACTCCCCGTGTGCACTCACCTTGATGGTTTCCAAAGCCCTCTCATTGTCCTGGTTGAGGCCAGTGGCCTGCTTGGCTTGGGCAGCTGCTTCCTGTAGTACTCCTTGGAGGTTGCTGAGTTTGCCTTCATATTCAGTTAAAGAATTCCGGATACTGCTAACCAGCCCGTTGTTCTCCACCTGGTGATTTTCCAGCAGGCTCCGGATCCGAGTCAGCACTGCAACACATCGGTCTGTGTTTTCCCTCACGAGGTGACGATACTGAACTCACTTATCGGCTTATTGCAGAGGGAGAGCGGAGGGTCTGCGAAAGTCCTCTGCTCCCTCGAACGTGTGAGCAAACGCATGGAGAAAACATCTCCACTGGCCCTGTCTGTGCGCTGTACACGCTGCCTGGCTGAGCACTCCCAGTCACCCAGGACAGCAGGAACTGCCGTCCTTGTGGGACACGGGGACACGCAGGCCAGAGAATGAGGGGGATCGCCAACGTTACGTGACTGGTCAGGCTGGGGACTTTTATGCCCGAGCATAAAAAACACCATGTCCCTTGCACTACTAATTTTCCACAGAATGAAAAGCCAAGGCTGATATTAAATCCAAATAATGCAAGTGCTGAAAGAGAACTGGTCCTAGATGTATCTTACTCCGTGACAGCATTTTACTAGAGAATAAGTACCAATATTTGGAAAACAAAAACAAGTACCAAACTCATATTTCTCTTCGTTTTGGACTAATGTGGCATTTTCCGGGTCAAAATCATTCAATATTACAAGCTAGTATCTAGTTTATCCGTTTCTGTTTTGTAATAGTAATACTAAGACTATTTTGATATGATAAAGTTAGGCAGTGCTTTAATAAAGGAAACAAATGAAAATGCAATCAGAACAGAAAATGGGGTCTCAATAACTAACCTGAAGGAGGAGTGTGTGTGTGTGTGTGTGTGTGTGTGTGTGTGTGTGTGTGTATTCTACATCCTTTAGGAAACGAAGACCTCTTAGTCTCCAGCAGACCACAACATGTTACTGCGGTACTCCAATAATGTTGAGGTCTTCTACCTATAACTGTGGGTTCTACTTTGCATATTATACGAGTATCTTAAGCAAATCAGGAACAAAATAGAAGTGAGACACAGGGAAAGTTCTTACAAAGCTGAGCCTCCCTCTTTTCCGTCTCGGCTCCTCTCAGCTGCGTGGCAAAGTTTCGGGCCCGCATTTCCCTCATCATGCGCTCTGCTTCCGCCAGCTCTCTGGAAAAGTCTCCTGAAGGTAGGTTGCTTCCCTCTCCACCTGTCCCAGATATCTGCTTTAAGAGTACTGGAAAACATTGAATAGCTTATTAAACTGGGAATTCTGGGCTCCAGACAACTACAGAAAGAAAAGAAGAAGAAGAAGAAGAAAAGCTAGAGGCTTTTATGAAGGGTTCATATTAGCTTTGAGTATCAAAACAGGATTGTTCTCACAATGTTAGAAAGGAAGCTGTTCAGTGTACAACAAGGGCCATGCCTTAAAAACAATCATTTCATTGGCCTGGGAAGTTCATCTTACTGTGTACATTCCTGATGATGTTTTTAATCTTTGTGTCCAGCTCTTTTGCATTTTGCATGGTCCGATCAACATTGCTATAGAATGTTTGTGCTTTTCTAGAATTCCCTTGAACCTGTATGAAAAATAAAATGATTAGCCACCAATTACATTTATCCGGGGGGTGGTGGTTATGAAATATTTTGAAGCTTAAGAGCTTATGAAGGAAATGGACCTAACATTTTAGTACCTTTTCTTGCAGTGTATCAAGTTGACGATTCACTTGACTCAGCTCTTTTTCTAGGCCATCCATTTTTGAGCCGTGATTCGAGATGGCAGAACGGTAGTTGAGCAACAGATTCTGTAAAATAACAGTTCATCTCACTTTCTAGGAGACATTCCAAGTCCCAGCAATACGATCAAACCTGGCCATGAGGAAAAGATCCACTTCGCAAGACCAACGCTGGTTCTACAGGAGAACAGACACAGTGGTGGCTCTTGGAAACCTGCTACTTGAAGAATTTACTGTCCGTTGTAACTGGTGCTAGGGCTACACAAGAAAGCAGCAAAGACCTTTTTAAGTGATGAGACAAGAGATAGTTTACGGACTCAATCAGACAAGAGAGATCGTTTACTGATTCAGTCTTACAGAAGTGAAGATGATGCTATGTACCTAAAGTATATTTGGGAAATCTCAACTTGGAAATTAAACAACGCACTTCAAAATAACTCATGGGTCAAAGATTTGTCCCAAAAGAAATAAGAAAATATTTTGACTGGAACAACAATATCAACAAGTCTTTTAAAATGTGTGGTGCACCGTGAAAGCAGTGCCCAGGGGCACATTTATAGCATTTAAATGCTCACATTAAAAAATCATAGAGGTTTTGAATAAATAAGCTTTTACCATGAAAAATGAGAAAATAAAACGCAAATGAAAACTAAAGAATGCTGAATGGAAAAAAATAGGGTAAAAACAGAAATCTATGAAATTGGAAACAGACAAACAATGGGGGGGGGGGAATCAATGAAGTCAAAAGTTCCTAAATATCATCAAAATTGATAAACAACTGAATTATCAAGACAAAAAGAAATAAGCCCCAAAAGATCAATATCAGGAATTAAATAAAAGGGCCTTACTACAGAAATTAAAAGGAAAATAAGGGAATCTATAAACAATTTTACGTCAACATATTTGATAATTTAGATGCAATGGATAAAATTATTTGAAAGACAAAAGCTATAAAATATCACTCAACGAAGCAACACAACAAACCAAATAGTCCCATATCACTTTAAGAATAAAAAATAATTTGTAGTTTTAAAGACCCTCCAAATCTAGGCAGAACAAAAAAATTTCAGACAAAGAAAATCCAGGTCCAGATAGTTTCTCTGGGAAAAAATCTGTCGGATACTGAAGGAACCATTACTATAAATTCTACATAAACCTGTCAAACTCACAGGGCCGTTCTACCCCGTCTGTAGGATCGCCAGGAGTCGGCATGGACTCGCTGGCAGGGAGTTTGGGCTTGGTTCAGTCTGTAAGGAAGATGATGAGCGGAAGGTTCTACGGGGCAAAGTCAGCCCAGCGCAGGACGTGAGCCGGATGAACAGATGCTCACTGAGAAGTTAGCGTAGTTAATACTTTCTACTAGCACAAGCGAATCTGCTCCAGGATCAAGAGAAGGTGAGAAGCCCAATCTCCCTGCTTTGTGTCTGAGACGCGCTCAGTTCATGTAGCATCTGTTCCTGAAGCATCCACTGAGGGCCAGGGAACAGGCGGGGCCCACAGGGCATTTACCCTCAGGTTCTTGGTCTGGGTCTCCAACTGCCTCATCTGTTCCAGAGCCCCGGCGCTGGCACTCATGCCCTGCAGCTGAAACTTGACCAGACGGAGCTCATCGTGCATGGTGGCCAGGTCGTTCAGGAGCGTCATCACGCAGCTGTCACAATCTGTAAGGACCACAATCAAAGGCAGCTGTGCAGGTGGGCTGGAGTCACAAGAATGCAAAGATGGCACCAGGGCAGGTGGAGATGAACAAAGATCCTCCGAGGCAAAAGGAAAGTCACAACCCCACAGACTCTGAGCGGGGAGGGATCCCTGGACAGGGAGCCTGTTTATAACAAGTGGTGAGTCTATGCAACTCATTGCCCATGTGGTACATGGGGAAAATGATAATAATAAATTACTTAATCCAAGGCTTGTTCATTGGCAGGCATTGTGATACTACATTGGAAAGTATTTCCCCAAAAGCCCGGTGAAGTGGATCTAGCTACATTTGAATCCATCAGATCCACACTTGATCCATAAACACACTTCCTCCTATTTCCTGCCGCCATTGTTTTCCCCGCCCAGGAAGCACTCGTATTATCACAGGGCTCACATGTCTTAAATGAAAAACACACGCTTGCGAAGAAGGGGAGGGCTTTCTTTTCTCACCATCACATTCTTCTGCAGTGCCAACATCTTTGGGCTCTGGGTCGACACAGTCTAAAATTGGAAAACAATCAAAGAGGAGGTGGTTATTCAACTTCTGTATCTGGTTTGTCAGGTGGTTTTCAGAAGTGCTGGTCAGGGGAAATCTTGGCCAGTGAACTCCCCAGCATCTTCTCTTCTCTCCCTCCCCAGAGCCATTGTTCAGCGGCCTGTCTCACCTCCCAGCAGGCTTGCTGCAGAAATTTCTTTTGTGACCCCCTAATGATAAGTCTGCTTTCTAATGCCTTCCCTTTTTCTTCTCTCTAGAAAGGTGGTTGCTCTGTAAGGTCATCTTCCTCGGGAATAATTCTGACTCTTCAAATTTTCCCTCTGAACTCAGTGGAGGAACCCTGATGGGGTAGTGGTTACGAACTGGGCCACTGACTGCAAGGTCAGCAGTTTGAAACCATCAGCAGCTACTCAACAGAGAGATGGGCTTTTTCCTCTGGGAAACAGTTCTCCTCTGTTCTACAAGGTCGCTATGGGCCAGCACCAGCTCCATGGCAGTGCATCTGGTTTGGTTTTTCTAGAACTCAGCAGTGTCTTCCAGATACCTTTCATAGCTAATTAAACCTAGTAGTTACTGTGAGAGCCCTGGTGTGCTAAATGGTTAATGCTCGGCTGCTTCCCCAAAGAATGACAGCTCAAGCTCACAGCTGCCCTCCCTCCGGGAGAAAGACGTGGCAGTCTGCTTACGTAAAGACGACAGACTTGGAAATCCTCTGGGGAGACTTCAGCTCCGTCCTGTAGGATCTCTGTGAGCCAGATCGGGCTCAGCAGCCACAGGTCTAGTCCCTTTAAAGCGTTCGAATCTCTTGCCATCCTCCCATACAACTGTCCAGCTTGCTTCCAGTACCAGTCAAGAATATTCAGCACACCTCCTTGAGCACTTTTGAGCATCCACCGTGTACCAGGGCTGTGTGTCAGGTCCTGAAGACACTGAGCTCTCATGACAAAACGCCCTGGTCTGTGGCGGAGGCAGACATGTCCCCAATCAGCAGAACTGAAGATGTGATGAGCTAGCTGCATAACGTGAGCGAGCGCAAGCAGATGACCAACTGCCTCACATAGGAGTCTAAGCGGGATGTTGCGGTTCGCAGCTACAGTCAGGAAAGCCGGCTGGTCATCTGTGGACAGTCTTGACTCTCCCTCGCCTCTACACTTTCCCCATGCCCTTCCTTCGTGACGACTGGCAGCCCTTGCACTTTCCTCTGGACCAGAATGTGACAGCATCCCAGCAACACTTCCTGGACATACCCAGGGATGCTTGCATTTTTGTTCTTTTCACAGCAAGTATTATTCCCCATTTTTGTGCATACACTTATATTTTCAGCCACACCTACTTTTCATTGTAAAAAGATAAATTGCTTATAAAAAATTGGGGAAAGTCTGAAAAATAAGATAAAGATATTACCCTCGATCCTACCACTTTAAAAGAACCCATTTCCTTCATATGGATTTTAATTTAGTATGTATAATCATAGGTTCCTCACATTCTTTCTTATCTTGTACTCATTCTTTTTTTTTTTTTTTTAGAAATCATTTAATTGGGGGCTTGGACAACTCTTATCACAATCCATCCATCCATCCATTGTGTCAAGCACATTTGGGTACTCATTCTTACACATACAGTTGACCCTTTGCATCCATGGGTCCCACATCTGTGCATCAAAAATATTCAGGGTGGGGGAAGCAATTACGTAGCCAGAGCAATCCCTCAAGGACCAGGAGGATGTGTGAAGTAACATCAACATGGCAGTGACTTTGCATTGAGTATCGTGAGTGAGCCCTGGCGGCATCTTAGCTTAGGAGTGGGGCTACTAACCACAAGATCAGTAGCTAGTAACCACCAGCTGCTCTCATCAGAAGGGTAAGGTTTTCTGCTTCTGCCTCAGAAGCCCACGGGGCAGTTCTATCTGCCCTATAGGGTCCTTGAGAGCCAGAATTGACTGGGTGGCACAGTTTTCTTTTTGGTAAAGATGAGGAGCATATGGGAGGATGTGTGTAGGTGATGTGTAAATACTACATCATGTTCTATAAGGCACTTTAGCATCAGCATCTTTGCGGATCTTTGAGGGTCCTGGAAGCGATCCCCCTTGGATCCCGAGGGCTAGCTGTCCAGGGAGCCGTGTGACTCCAGTAGAACGTTCATGTCTTGTGGCCAAGACACATGGCCGTACTTCCTCACAATCTGCCATAACACCTGGAAAAGCTGATGCGGGGACTGGCTTGTGTGGATGACAGGCTGATCAGTGTAATTTTCACAACCTGAGTCAAAACCACCAAGAAGTCTGCACATTATTAATGAAAAACAAATAAATTCCATATGAGAACATTTTCTTATACTTTTGGAACAACGAGTTACCACCCCCTCTCGGGTGGCTGATTGTTGTTGTTGACGGATGGGAGGCAGAGGGTTGAAGAAGCACGAGCCTCATGAATAGGCTGAGTGGGCTGCTGAAAACTTCCTGACATTGTTCCCCTGACAAGAGAACTCACTTCCCTTTAAAGATCCGTCTTCATCTCTACACAGCTGAAGTTGTTTGAAAGCCCCTCCTGAGAAGGAGTTTAAGCGGATCACTCTCTAGCTTCCGCTCGGCACTCTAAGTGCTCTCCTTGATGCCACATCAGACCAGACTAACCCTGCTCCCACACAGCAGCCTTTCAAATATGTCTTTCCCAAGTATTCTTTTCCACTGCCCTCAGCCTTCCCGCGTGTAAACTGATTGCAAATCCTTTCATAGTTTTACCCTCTTTCTGCAGAAAATCTCTCACCAAGCCAAACTCATCGCCACGGAGTCAGTGCTGACTCATAGCAACCCCCTGTAAGTGTCTGAGACTGTCACTGTTCACACGAGTAGAAAGCCCGGTCTTTCTCCTTGGAGCTGCTGGTGGTTTCGAACTGCTGACCACGTGGATCCCATCCCAACAAGTAATCACTACACCATCAGGGTGTCTGAAGAAAATCAAGCTTGTCAATTTTCTTCTTAAACAGAAGGGCTTATGTGACTAGTGTGGCATGGAGTGGCAGAGCTCCTGGTTTGAGCCATTAGAACTTAGCAAGACCAGCATGGGACATCTAGGGCCCACTCACCTCACGCTTTCTAGACTTATTGAACTTATTACTAATTCAGACTTCACAGTTTTTAACAGGACCTGCCACTATGCCACATCTCATTTATGACCTAAGGGTTGGTGTTTTTTCCACTCAAAAATTGCAGTCATTAGAACAAGGAACTGTTTGAACAAGGAATGACTATGTGGTTTAAATTCAGGAAAGATATGTCTCAAGGTCATATTCTTTCACCACTTATTCAACCTGTCTGCTGACAAATAATCCAAGAATCTGGACCAAATGAATAAGAACACAGCGTCAATGTTTGGAGGAAGACTCATTAGCCACCTGAAAAATGTATACGACACAACCTTGCTTGCTGAAAGCAAAGAAGGCCTGAAGCATTTACTAAAGAAGATCAAAGTCGAAAGCCTTTGTTATGGATTCTGCCTCAACACAAACAAAACAAAACTCCTCAAAGTTAGGCCAATAAGAAACATCATTAATGGAGAAAATAGTGAAGCTGTCAAAGATTGTCTCTTACTTTGACTCACAAGCAATGCCTTGGAAGCAGGAGGCAAGAGATCAAATGATAATAATCATGGTGTGGTGAATTACTTGATGTGGCCCCTCAAGTGTTTGTCACTTACAAATGACTGGGAGGGAGGATGAGAATAAGGTGAATGAAAATCTAACAAGGGATTGGTTAATTCGCCACGTTGCTGGGTTTAAAATGAGTCATCTCAGAAGCATGAGTGGGCGATCTCACTATTAGGAAGGGAAACAGAGTCAGAAATGGAGCAGGTCCTTTGCATCCAGAGATTCCTATGCATTGAGTCTCTCTGATCCTGTCACAGAGCGGTGACACAGGAGAAGTGGCAGAGAACTGGTGGCAGCAGAGACGAAAGCATCAAGGCCATACGATGGTGCAGCGGGCTTTCTGGCCACAGAGCAGAGCGGAGTGCCTTCAGGCAGGAGGCTCGCCTTCGGAGTGAGTTACTTGCAGGCACTTAATTAGGGATGCTAGAATGTCTGACTCGTGAAGCTAGAGCTGAGAGCCTTTGGCTGAAGCTTATGGCAGAGTGGAGTATCCTTTGGGCATATATTGGCAGCACAAATGGAGCTTTGCAACATTGCCTGGGGAGAGGACAAGGGGCTATGTGGCCAAGAGATTGAGGACCGGAGAGTTGTGGCTGAGCACAAGGCTGAAAAGAGGTGCTCCTAACCTGAAGAACTGCATGTATCCTGAACATTTCTCATCAAGCAATTGTAACGTGTTATAAATGCCATCATCTTGACTATTGCCTGGGAATTCTATGTGACCAACGGATTATCAAGCCCAGCAGAAAAGAAGAAAGCGCTGCGGGAGGGATGGCTGGTGTCAGAACTGGTCAAGGAAGAAAGCTGGTGGAGGCAGGTCTGACCTCTTCCGTGTAGGAGTCAGCCTTGGGCGGTTGTTGGCCCAACACACCATTCTTACAGCTTTGCGCTGGGCAAACCTGCTGCAAAAGACCGCTTGAATGGGCTACAAAGCAAAGGTGTCCTTTTGTGGACTAAGGTTCACCTGGCCCAAGTCAAGGTCTTTTCAATCGCCTCAAATGGATCTCTGGACAAAGAATAGTAAGAGCAACAACAAACTGGTGTCTTTGCATTATCGTGTTATGCACAGAATTGCTAAGATCTGGAACCTACTTGATGGCACTTGGCAATGCCACAGGAGTGCGCTCTCACACCGGACATCATTTTGTCAGTTCCGATTGGCTCAAATCCTACACATTGAGGCTGTTTTGTATCCTTAATGCATACAGGTATTGCATTTTCTATCCTTCTCAATTTAGTCATGTGATACCTGGCCGGCTGTGTCTTCAATACTTATGTCCAAGTTAAAGAACAAGTTGAACAAGATGGGGCCTGTGGCTTCACAATAGATACCTCCTTCTGGACTGGTATTATGTTACTTTATATTCCTTTGGGAATAGTCATTTAATGAGATCTAGTCTTGGTGGTGTAGTGGTTATGCATCCGGTTGTGATACACATGGTCAGCAGTTCCAAACCATCAGCAGGTCCTCAGGAGAAAGACTGGGCTTCCCACCACCATTAACAGTCACAGTGTCAGACTCACACAGGGGTCGCTATGGGCCAACATCGCCTCATTGGAAGTGAGGCGTCAACACATCCAGGTTTTGTTTGATAGAATTTATCTAATAGTTTGGTGTTTTCCTATATTGTTGTACTATCTTCTCCCCAGTAGATACATTAGTATCTCTGCTAATTATTATTTGTATCTCTGCTAACTATTCTGTGGAACCCATTCTAACTCCTGGTAATCGCCTTTTCCTTGTTGTGTGAACATCATCCCAATGACACCATCCATACCACAGAGATTGCGCTATCTCTTATGGTATAAGAAAATGATGGCTTTGACTTCTTTACACACACACACACACACACACACACACACATGTGTTGATGGGATGGTCATCCTATGCCATCCTACAAGGTCAAAGGGAGGTCACAGCAAAATCAGTAGGTAAGTTGTGAAGTTATTTTGGCTATCATTAATTGAGTTTCAAAGCCAATTCAAAAACAAAGCAAAACTATCCAATTAAAGTACATTATTCAAGGTAAATACTACCTTTGTTCACAGAAAGGGCTTATGCCCCCGGAAAATGTTTGCCTGGGTTCCTAGCATGCTATTTTATACCAGTTTTATCAATTCAAGTGAACAGAGATGTGAGTCAACCTTACCTCCAGTCAGAGGGTCACAGCTGCCCAACTGGCCATTGCTGTTACAATTGCATGGCTGGCAGCTACCTCCAAATTTCTGGGGATTCCCGAAATATCCTGGTGCACACCTACATATGATGGAGAAGAGGAGAAACACACAAAAATCTCATCATTTAGTCTTCCCAGTTTTCTCAACACCTAGGGCAGGCTGACAGAAGGATGCATGTGCTTCAATACAACATATATGGCCCATTGGATTAGAGAGGTGAGAGTGGAAAGCAGACAGAAATTGTGCCTTTCCTCATTGGCACAAAGGCTACCGAGTCTTCAGATCCTCCTAGAAGTGAGTGACAGATGGTGACAATGGACACAGAGCAAGTGGTGGTTTGACCAATATGAAATTTGGAGGTGATTGAATTCTCTGATCAATATGAAATTCAGAGGTGGTTGAAGTCTATGATCAATGTGCAATCCAGGGGTGGTAGCATGTTATGATCAATATGAATTCGGGGTGGTTGCATGTTATGATCAATATGGAATTTTGAGGTGGTTGCATGTTATGATCAATATGAATTCAGGGTGGTTGCATGTTATGATCAATATGGAATTTGGAGGTGGTTGCATGTTATGATCAATATGAATTCAGGGGTGGCTGCAAGTTTTCATCAATATGGAATTTGGAGGTGGTTGCATGTGGAATTTGGAGGTGGTTGCATGTTATGATCAATATGAATTCAGGGATGGCTGCATGTTATCATCAATATGGAATTGGAGGCGGTTGCATGTTATGTCCATATGGAATTCGAGGGGGTTGAAGAAATGTGAGCCTAGAGATCCCACACGGGGCAAACACCGCTGAGAGAGCTATCCTCATAGGGAAAAATATAAAGTGAGATTCATATAATTTCTATTTTTTTTCATGAGGGAGGGCTTTGTTAATATTTTCTATCCCATTAATTCAGTGGAAATTATTTCTACTGAAATATGTGCATAATTCAACAGGTGATGACAGGGATCATTAGACGGCATGATGAAATAATAACTGTGTGCGTGTGGTGGTGCTTCAGGGTAAGCAGTGGACGGCTAATAAGAAATGCAGTGGTTGCCATTACCAACCACTCCACCGGAGAAAGATGAAGCTCGTGGAAAGATGGACCACCTCTTACTTAAGCTCACTGTCACCGAGCCAGTGCTGGCTCAGAGCGCTCCCGTGGCGTCCAAGCCATGAGTGTGGACGGGAGTGGAACGCCCAGTGTTTCTCCTGCACAGCTGCTGGTGGTCCCAGCCTCGTCCAACATGGCCTCGCTACACCCCCAGACCCCGAGTTCCCTGCTCTTAGCTGCAACCACCTCAGTGGCAGTCAGAGTAGGGTATAATTTGCTATCGGTTTGCATGGTTTCATTTCAGAAAGCAAGCAGGAAGTAGAAAGATCTATGGATCCCCTAATTACTAAGAAGGTAATCAAACTGAGGCAGTTCATCCTGGTCTCCTGTGCAGGTTGGTAATGTACTAATAATAGGTTTTATCATGTGACCCACCTCTAAAAATACACGTTATGCAGAACCTATGTTTTCAAACATTTTTTCAGATGTCTCACCTATACCTAAATGGTCCATGTAATGCAGGCATAATTAAGAAGTACCTTAATACTAGATGGCGTAAGAGGTTTTGCATTGACTCGCTAACTGAAATGTCAGTAGTTTGAACCCACCAGTCACTTTGAGCTGCAATCAACTAGATGGCAGGGGGCCTTTTGGTTTAGGGTTTGATAGTAAAGCCATCTACATATTGAGGAGGTGGGATTTGCCACCCGCCCTCTTCTTGCCAAACCTTCACTACTGGTCGTGAGAAATGCCTGGTTCCCTGACGCTTATCCGTGACTAAACACAAGGGACTGAATGGAAATTTCCCGATTTCACAGAGGACACTGGTACAACAAAGGAGGATCAGAGAAGACGTTTGTTACTTGTGGCTCGGAGTGGCTGGGGGAGAAAGTAGTCAAACCTTGGCTGAGCTGGGAAGCCTCTGCGAGCTGCTCCCCGAGGTTTCTGCCCCCTCCTTTCCTGAGCAGGACCCCTGAACTTAGCCCTCCTCTTTATGCCAACCCCCCTGCTAATCACCAGCCCTGGCTCATAGTGCGTCCCACGTCCCACGAGTGAGGTCAGGAGGATGCAATAAATGTTTAATGAGTGCACAGCTGGATATCAAAATGACATTTATCTGTGAAATGGGAAATAAATGTTTGTAAACCATAGCCTGCTTTCCTAACATATTCCACATCACAATCATCAGCTGAGATAACTTTTAATTAAGAACTCTTTTCAGAGCCGCTGTCTGCCAAATGGGTGTCTCATCCAGCCAGTTACCGACTTCATTGTGGAGAGCCGTAAGGAGGATTGAATTAGAAGCTGAATCAACAGTGACAACGGCAATAACACAAACGTGAGTGCTGTAACATTTTAACTCAGCGCCTGGGATACCTTCCTAACCTCACTTTGCCCCCCACCCAGTCTCAGGATCGCTGCCCCTTTCTTTCCCCACCCTTCATGCCTGGTTGGATGCCCCCTATTGCAGCCCATCGCAGCCCTGTGATCGCATTTCTTGTTACCTCCGGGGGTATTGTTTCATCTGTTCAATCTCACTCACTCACTGCCACTGAGTCGATGCCAACTCATCGTGACCCTGTAGGGTAGTGCAGAACAGCCCTTGTGGATTTCTGAGACTGTAACTCTTTCTGGGAGTAGAAAACCCTGTCTTTCTCCCAAGGAGCGAGTGGTGGTTTTGAACTTCTGACCTTATGGATTGCCGCCCAACTAGTAACCATTATGCCACGAGAGCTCAGTCATCTGTTCACTAGTAGGCTGTAAAATCCTTGAAAGGAAGAGCTGTGCTATCTTCAGTGCTTAGTGCTGTGCCAGGCAGATACTAGGACCTTTATACATTTTTCATTAAAAAACAAATAAACAATAGATGTCAGGCCAGTGTGGAAAATGATCTGCTTCCTAAAATTGCAATAGGACAGAAATCGAAACAACTTAAATGCCCATCAACAGTTGAACGGATAAGCAAAATATGGCACATATACATATAATGGAATCCTATACAACCATAAAGAACAATGATGAGTTTGCAAAACATACTATAACATGGAAGGATCTGGAGGCCATAATGTTAACGGAACTAAGGCAATTACATAAATATTATATGAGCCCACATAGAAGAAGACAGAACATATATTCATATCTACATTATATACTACTGGTCTTTGGTGGTTCCAAGGAGAAGGAGGGGATGGCTAAGCATATACTAGACCACAGATATTTGGGGAGTGGGGAAAAGTAATGCCAAATGTGGGCGTGGTCAGCACCGCCTGGCCACAGCCCATAAGAAGCACTCAAGAGGAAAGGATGCTTGAACTAGAGATTTTGACATCTGTCATCTGGCAACACCAGCCATGACCAAAAAAAATGAGTCTATGGTCACATAGGAAGAGACTTTGAAAAGTCCGTGGGAAAATGGGATGAAAAGGTAATTAACTGTTTGAACCCCCCTTGTATGTATGTGTATAGGCATACAGGCATAGAGGTAGGAACAAGTTATACATATGTGTGCAAAGATAGAAGTAACTCTACATGCAAGTAAAGATACGTCGGCATCTCTATTCATCGAGATCACACTCAGAGATGCCTTTCAGGTAGAAGCAAACACTGACTGGTTTTCTAGGTTTGAAGAGTTAGGACCTTCATCCCATGAAACAACTGAGTCCCTTGGCATAATACAGTCCATAAAATCCACATTCTGCAGCCCAGGGAGATGAGTAGCTTCTGGGGTCTCAAAAGGTTGTGAGCAGCCAACTATTGTTGTACATGTATTGTTCTTTCCTCATCAGGAGCAAAAGAGAAAAGAACAATACCAAAGTCTCACAGAAGAAATAAGTCAACAGGACCGGCATGAGCTAGAGCCTTGTCTACTCTCAAACCACAAGATATAGATGGTGCCCAGCCACCCCAACTGACCATCTGAACAGGGCCACCATAGACGGACCCTGCTAGAACAGAGGAAAAATGCCAGACAGAAATCACCTTCTTAGACGTCCAGCCTTGCTGCATCAACTAAGACAAGAGGATTCCCTGAGACGATTTCTCTGAGATACTCTATAAACTTTGAGCAAAAACTGTCTCCCAAGACCACCTTTTAGGGAAATAACATACTGGCACACAAAATAAAGGATGTTTCCTGTGAGCATGGTACTCTATTCAGTAGAAAATTAAACAGAAAGCATCCATGTGGCCCAAAAGTCAAACATTGCTCTAAAGGAAAGATGAGGAGACAAGGGATTAGAGGACCAGAAACTCAGTCAGGAGAATGCAATGAAAGGAAATGTGGACTCACTGTGAAAGATATAACTAATGTCACAGAAGAAAGCTGCATAGAAATTGGCCGTTGGAAACCTAATTTACTGTATAAACTTTCACCCAAATCACAATAACACATAAGGGTACATCTAAAACGTTCGTGGAAAAGTTCCATTACCTTTTTCAGTTCCATTTTCCCACCCACTTTTTAAAGTGCCCTCATCTATTACTGTATTTTATTTAAAGACAAAGGCATAAATATGACAGGGACGTTGGTCTTAAAATGGACATAATAAAGCAACAAAGCCCACATGGAAGAAGCACACCAGCCTGTGCGATCATGAGGTGTCGAAGGGATCTTACCATAGTGAATGAGGCGGGGAGCGTGGGGTGGAGACCCAAAGCCCATTTGTAGGCCACTGGACATCCCCTTACAGAAGGATCTCAGGGAGGAGACGAGCCAGTCAGGGTATGATGTAGCAACTGATGAAAAATACAACTTTCCTCTAGTTCCTAAATGCTTCCTCCTGCCCCCCCACCCCACCCCACTATCATGATCCCAATTCTACCTTGCAATTCTGGCTAGACCAGAGGATGTACACTGGTACAGACAGGAACCGGAAACACAGGGAATCCAGGGCAGATGATCCCTTCAGGACCAGTGCTGTGAGTGGCAATACTGGGAGGGTGGAGGAAAGGTGGGGTAAAGAGGGGGAACTAATTATAAGGATCTACATGTGACCTCCTCCCTGGGGGACAGACAACAGAAAAGTGGGTGAAGGGAGCCGTCGGACAGGGCAAGATATGACAAAATAATAATGTATAAATTATCAGGGCTTCATGAAGGAGCGGAGAGGGAGGGGGAAAACGAGGAGCGATGGCTGGGGCTTAAGTGGAGAGCAAATGTTTTGAGAATGATGAAGGCAATGAATGTACAAATGTGCTTTACACAATTGATGTGTATGTATGGAATGTGATAAGAGTTGTATGAGCCCCTAATAAAATGATTGAAAAAAAAAAAGAACTAGAAAAAAAATGGACATAATATAGCATGGGGACATGTATGAGTGTATGTGTGCATTGTGTTTGTAAGTCTATGTGTAAATATAGGGATATATGTGTGCACTAGTACGTAGTCTATGGAGTATTTGAATACCACTAGTACATAGTTGTGTAAGGGTATGGACATGTGAGGAGTACTGGCACGCAGGGGATAGTGGGTAGTAGACATGTGCATTGGTTAGAGGTATGAAGAGACGTGTATGAGGGTGTGTGTGTGTAAGGGATATATGAAGGGAAGGGGGCTTATAGAGATATGCCAGGGTGTAGCTCTATGTGTGAGGAATTGTTATTGGCTTTTAGGGAGGCCTGGTGGCATAATAGTTATATATTTGGCACTAACCACAGGGTCCGAGTTTGAAACCACCAGTCCCTTTGAGGGAGATGGATTCCCATACAAAGCTACAGTCTCAGAAACTCACAGGGGCAGTTCTACCTTGTCCTACAGGGTCACTGTGAGTCAGCCTTGACTCTGCCAGTTTGTTGTGGGTGGGTTTCCATCAGGAGATCACCAGGCCCTTTCTCCCAATCCATCTTCATCAGAAAGCTCTGCTGAACCCTACTGGGCAGCATCACAGGAAGGAGTGACAAGCACGGATGGGGAGAAGCCTTCCAGTAAAACAGAAGGGCCTCTCACCTGAGCGGCTGGGGACTCTGGCCTGCAGGACATGGGCAGGGGTGGGCAGGGATATGTAGGAGGTCATACAGAGCTCTGTGTGTATGTGTGTGTGGGGGGGGTGGGGGGCGGGGCAGTACAGTGAACCCTCGCCACTTTGCGTTTCGACTTCCGCGGCTTCAGTCTATCGCGGTTTTTGCGTAACAGCGCATGCTCTGTCATTATTGCCACTGATTGGCTCATACTGTACACGCTTGATGCCATAAATAATATAATAAATAATAGTTGATAATTGTAACGTCCAAAATGTTTTACTGTATTTTCCCTTTTTTGTTTAATAAATTGGGTAATACGAGTGTAATGGTGACTAAAGGGTGTTTTTTCATGTCCTCTATGCTCTACCTACGAAAATATTTGATTTACAAATAAGGAATCCTACTTCGCGGAATTTCATTTATCACGGTAGGGTCTAGAACCAATTAACCACAATAAACAAGGGTTCATTGTATATGATTGTATTTGATGTGCTGGCTTTATTCTCAAATTTCTGAAGCACGAAACAAAACAAACAAGCAAGGAAAAGAAGCAAGTTTGTGATTTCTTCAGGGAGCAATTTGCCTTTTTCTTGAGAACTTTTTGTAGCCTTCAGTAAAACCAACAGCCCCACCCCTGGCTCTGAGCTATGGCCCAACAGAACCCCACCCATGGCCAGTGCTTGCAGCAGCCTGCCCTGAGCACCCTCCCTGCCAACCCTCTCCCCCCACCCCCCAGGGAGGAGCAGCACCCACCTCTCACACTGCGTTCCTGTGTACCCGGGTTTGCAGAAGCACTTCACGGTTCCCCCATCGACAACACAGCCGGTGGCGAAGCTGGAAAGAAGACAGGAGGGGAGGGGAAACAGTGAAAAGAAATACCAACAGGCTCTGTGCTCATTATTTTTGCCACAAAGACCTGACTTGCGTCACGTGAAAATGAAAACCAGGCGTCTTCTGTGAAGAAAAATCCGCCTGTCAGGATGTGCGGAGGAGGTAAAGCATTGTTGCGGCTGACAGAGGGCAGCTGTGATGAGTAAGGCTGGAGGCATTGCCTTTATTTGACTTTTTGGCCTGGAGAAATCCACTCCTTTCCTCCAGACAGAGCACAGGGACTCAATTTGGAAGAGATCATTACAACAGCATTTCCCCAGGAATAACATGGAAAGGATAAAACAAGTCTAGGCAGAAAAAGAACAGAGTTTTGATTCTTCAAAAAAAAAAGTCTACTTGTTTATTCTAGTTCTTTTATGTTGGGCCCACAGCCTTCTGGAACAAAGCTGGTGGTGGGGCCTGACTCCCAGAGGCTCAGAGAGGAGAAAGCCACAGCTGCTCAATTTAGCTCAGGGAGTCCAGGGCTCACCATTCCTGCTTGTCACACTTCCATTCAAACCAAGTGATGGAATTTTAATCCCCCTTCCCTTAGTTCCAAATGGAAGGAAACTGAGACGAAGCTTTTCCTTCTGACTTAACAAAGACACCAAAGAAAGGCCTGCCATCTTTTAAAATGTCTCTCCCTGTTCAAGGACCAGTTGCTCTTGTGCCTGCAAGCAAGCGGCTCCCTGACCGCATGAGGACTCCGGGCAAGGCAACAGTAATGCCGCCTGCCCGGACCGACCGACCGACCGCTCCCCACGTGGAGCTGACCTTTGTGATTCACAGGTTTCACCGTCTGGTTTTCTGATGTGGATCACCGGCCGGTTCTTCCCCGCTTACCTCCATCTGGAAGCCTGCTGAAACCTTTTTGGCATCAACACCACACCAAAGTGTCCCCTGATTCCACTGGTAGACGGGTGATGGCTTCTCATGAGGCACAAAAGGTTTAAGGATTCTACCCCTCCCAGCCAGCTGCCTCCAAGTGAGCTGTGTGTGTACCCATCCCAAAGAAAGGTGACTCAACAGAAGGTGCACACTAGGGAACAACATCATTGCTATCACATAAAAGTAAAATGTCGCTGAAGACAATGGTTGCCACAATACATTGATAATCCAACATGGTTGCCACAATACATTGACAGCTAGCTGCCAGAAATTCAGAGCAGATACAGAGAAGGATGTGGAACAAAGGATGGCATTACTGATAGCAGATGGATCTTGGCTGAAAGCAGAGAACCCTAGAAAGATGCTTGCTTGTATTTTATTGATTATACAAAGGCATTCAACTGTGTGGATCATTAACAAACTATGGACAGACTGGAGCACAATCATTGTGCTCATGTGGAATTTATACATGGATCAAGAGGCAATTGTTCAAACAGAACAAAAGAACACTGCAGGGTATAAAATCAGGAAAGGTGCATCAGGAGTTCTATCCTCTCACCATACTTGTTCGATCTGTATCCTGAGCAAGTCATCGGGATGAAGTGAAAAAAGAACACGGCATCAGGATTGGCCTATTTACAACCCGAGATATGCCGATCACACAACCTTGCTCACCAAAAGGGTTACAGCCTCTAATGTGGAGTTAATGTAACTTTACAAGTTAATGTAAAGAAAACAAAGGATCTCCCTTATGATCCACGTAAACTTTTTCTAGTTTTTAATATTTTCTTCTTTCTTTTTCAATTGAGAATTTGATCTGTTTTACTTTGTTAATGTTGAGTTTAGAAAATTGTTTTTCTGTAGATGAAATCTAGGATGGGTGAGTCTATAGAGGCAGTAACTGGATCAATAGTTCTTTGGGGGGATGGCAGGGGAGGCTGGGGGCAAAGGGGAGCTAAGAAAGATGCGTACAAGAATAAAGAAAATGTTCTAAAATTGATTGTAGTAATCATTGTACAACACCTCCTGATGTGATTGAACTACTGAACTGTACGATACATGAATTAAATGCCAATAAAGCTGTTAACAAGGAAACAAAAATCCTCACAACTGGACCAGTAGGTAACAGCACAATAAGTGGAGAAGGGAAGGGATTGAAGTTGAGCACTTCCTCCTGCTTGGACCCACAATCAATGCTCATGCAAGGGGCAGTCAAGAGATCAAATGACACACTGTATAGGGTAAATCTGCTGCCCGAGACCTCTTTACAGTGTTGAAAAGCAAGGATGTTACTTTGAGGACTAAGGACTAAGCCGTGATGTTTTTCAATCGGGTCATAGGCATATGAAAGTTGGACACTAGATAAGGAAGACCAAAGAATTGCTACATTTGAATTGTGGTGTTGGCAAAGAATATTGAATGACCGTGGACTGACCAAAGAACAAACCAACCTGTTTTGGAAGAAGTCCAGTACAGAAGCAAGAATGGGGCTTGCCTCTCATGTACTCTGGGCATGTTATCAGGACAGGCCAATCCCTGGAAAAGGACATCACGGGAAAGTAGAGGGGCCGTGAACAAGAGGAGGAACCTCGACCAGATGAACTGATACAGTGGCTGCAAAGATGGACTGAAACATAACAATTGAGCAGGAGCAAGCGCTGTTGTGCTCAGTGGTACATGGGGTTGCTATGAGTTAGAACCAACTCCACAGCACCTGACAACCACCACCAGCACTGCCAGCAATGCCCTCACTCATTGATATGCCTACCATCGCGTCAGTTCTGCAACATGATGATCCTATTGGACAGAGGAGGGGGTTCCTGGGAGGCTAGAACCCTTTAGTGGCATAGACAGTGTCAACAATCTCCTGTGGTGCAGGGGTGGGTCTGAACTGCTGACCAGACAGTTAGCAGCCCAAAACTTAAGCCACTATGTCATCAGGGTTCCTTCATCGAATGTTATACTCATGTAAATCTGAGGGGGAAATCTTCCATTGTCATTGACTTCAAAGGCATTTGATTGTGTGGATCCTAACAGATTATGGCTAACATAGCAAAGAAGGGGAATTCTGGGACCCTTATTTATGCTAATGGAAGACATGTACAGCGATCTAGAGGTGGTCATTCAAACAGAGCAGGGGATCATGTATGGTTTACATCAAGAAACGTGTGCATTAGGGCCAATACCGTTCACCATATTTATTCAAGCTGTGTACGGAGCAACTAATCTGAGAAGCTGGACTCTCTAATGAAGAACCCAGCATCAGGATTAGAGGAAGACTCATTAACAACCTGCAATTTGTAGATGACACAACCCTGCTTGCTTCAGGGAAGCAGACCTGCAGCACTTAGTGATGAAGATCAAAGACAGAACGGCTAACCGAGAGGACGTAAAGAAAACAAAAATCCTCCTAGCTGGATTAATAGATAACCCCATGATAGACACAGAAAAGGTCAAGTTGTCAAGGATTTTGTTTCACTTGGATCCACAATCAGCGCCCAAGGAGGCGGCGATCCAGAAAGAAAATGACGGGCTGCAATGGGCACATCTGCTGCCAAAGATTTCTTTAAATGTTACAAAGCTAAGCTGTCACGTTGATGTCTAAAATGCTTTCAACCCAAGCCGTGGCCTTTTCCGTTGCTCCGTGCATCCCAAACCCGAACAACGAATGACGAAAACTAAAGAAGAATTTAGCGTCTCGGAATGACGGTGTTGGCAGAGCGTGGCGAGCACCCCGGACTGCCAGAAGAACAGATACCGCTGTCTTGAGAGACACACAGCCACGATGCTCCTTTGGAGGGCGGACGGAGAAACGTCGTCTCACATCCTTTGGGCACATTATCAGGAGGGGCTAGTCCCTGGAAAGGGCCATCGTGCTCTGTAGAGTTGAGGGTTTAAGTAAATGAGGAAGACCTTCAATGAGATCGAGGGTCACAGCGGCTGCCACAATGGACTCACACACAGCAACCACTGTGAGGGTGCTGCAGGACAGGGCAGTGTTGCATTCTGCTGGACACAGGCTTGCTAAGGGTCAGAACTGACTGGTTTAATGGTATCTAACAAGTCCTTTCTCTGATAAAATAAATCATATATAAGAAATCTCTCTTGCTCTATTAGATACAGAGGTGTACCTCTAAGCCAGAAGTTATCAACCTGCGGATCGTGACCCCTTTTGGGGTAAAACGACCCTTTCACAGGGGTCACTGATTCATAACAGTAGCAAAATGACAGTGATGACGTAGCAATGAAAATAAATTATGGTTGGGGGGTCACCACCACATGAGGAACTGTATGAAAGGGTCGCAGCATGAGGAAGGTTGAGAAACACTGCTCTAAGGCATTTGAAATTTGTTTGCCATATTAATAGTTTCGGAAAGAATAGTAGACAAAATAAGTCGGGCTCTATCGATAAATGTGAAGAGATACGGTTTAGTTCAACTGCTTAGAAATTGGGCAGGCTGATCATGAGGATAATCTCATGCTTCACACTCAAGAGAGCCTACGAGTTGAAATCCTGGTGCTCTCCCCTATTTCTGGTTTCTCTTCCAGCAAGTCTGGGCACGTGTCCATAAAAGGAACTTTTATAGAGTCACAGGACTGGGCAGACTGAAAGAATATCAAATTGACTGATAACAAAGCAGGTGAATTTTCAAAAGAGCTCCAGAGAAAAGGAAAAAAAAAAAAAGCCACACATGGGCACACGACTTTTGACCATTTTAAGTCTTGGCCGAGCCCCCTGATTCACACAGATAGAAATCAAACTTAGTAGCTGCGTTGGCTCCTGAGCCTGGGCACTGACACTTCATCAGTCTCCCTCATCTCCAGGGAACCCTTGCTTCACCTGGCTGCTTGTTATGTTTTGTTTCTCTCTCACAGTGGGTATGTAAAGATAAGCAGGGCTAATAAAGGTACATGCCAAGAAAGAACACGATTTACGTGCAATTCCTCCATTTAAAGGGGACAATTCAGTAGCCTTTTGTGTTGTCACAATGTTGCGCAAGCACAATCAATTTTAGAATCTTTTCCTCACCCCCAGAAGAAACTCTGTACTCATTAACTGGCAATCACTCTCCATTCTCCCCAAACCCCCTTGCTTTAAGAAGTCACTAAGCGGCGATGTTCTGTCTCCATTGGCTACTGTCAAACACCAGTACCTGTTTGAGTGGGGGCAGGGACAGACGCTGCAGGATCCCTGGGTGGCGCTCCCGTAGTAGCCTTCTTTACATCGCTCACAGTGGTCTCCAGCAGTGTGGTGCTGACAGTTCTTGGGACAGAATCAAGAGCCCAATTAATAGCAACCTGTTAACATTACTACTTTTTAGTTCATTATAACCCAAACTACGTACACAATTATAACCCACGTCTCTAACTCTGTACAGTGATATCGGCTCCACTAATGACATATTTGTCTAGTCTACCCAAGCATGCAGAGACCAGTCCCTGGAATAGGTCATCAAGCTTGGTAAAGGAGCAGCAACAAAGAGTAAAGCCCTCAACAAAGAGGGACACAACGGCTGCAAAAGAGGCCTCAAACCCAAGAGCAGTTGTCAGGATGGCCCGGGACCGGACAGGGGGACGGGGGAGGCAGCCTTCCCTAGAAAAGCTCTCCGTTTGTTCAGAGTAAACAAATCAATCCTTCAGGAACCCTCAGTGATGGAGAAGCGCACAGCTGACTAAGAAGCCCAGTGTGGATGCCCGTGTTTCCCAGACGTGCGGCTGGGCTGGAAATCAGAGGACTCGTCCGTGTATCAGGTTGGCCTTTAGTGAGAGATGCTGCTCACCTGTTACTAGCTGATGGTTGGTTGTCAGGGAGCTGACCCCTGTGGGGATCCTTCCTTCATCCCTCACAAGCACATCTCATGGGAGGTTTCCTTAGGGTTCTGGCACGTTGAGCAGGACCTGGGTTCACCCACCCTCCAGCTCCACCCAGGAGCCCTCTCAGGGGTCAGGCGAGGGCACAAGGCTCTCTGTGCTCAGGCGCCCAGACTTAGCCACAAAACACACAGTTCTTTTGAACTAATCATTACTTTTCCACCGCTGTGTTCTTCCCTTTTTGCCTCCCAATGATCATTTTCTAGACGAACATTCCGGGATACATATATTTTAGCCCTCTGTCTACTTAGTTCTGAGGTTAAAAACCATGGGGAGACAAGCACATGAAGAAAAAAGAATCATGGTGAGGCCATTGGTGTTCTGCTGAAAACACTCTGAGTACTGTTCCCCACAGAGCACAGTGTTCAAATCCCTCAGTGGGCAGAGGAGAGGATGGTGGGAAGGGGGCAGAACCACTGGCGTTGGCTCATCAAGCCCCTGAAGGGTTCTGGAAATGCCCCTGGCTCTCAGCCAAGCACAGCCATGCTCAGAGCAACTCCTTGGGCTCTGCACAGTGGAGGCATCTGCTTCTGCAGGGTCCCTGGTTCATCTGGAGCCTCCAGAAATGAGTGCGTGCCAGGGGCCCCTCACTCAGACCCTCAGCACGTACTTTCCTGGTTTCATCTAACAACCAGCATCTATTAGGCACGTTCTGTAGGCCAAAATTTGCCAGGTGCTTGGGGTGCAAGGATGAATTGATACCCTGACTTGGGGGCAGATCATTTTTCAACAAACAAAACAAAAAACATCCTGACTCATGGTGACCCTTACAGGGTTTCTGAGACTGCCGATTGTTATGGAAGGAGACTGCTTTCTCGGATGGCCTGCCCACCTTGAAGTGGGCAACCTCACCTCGAACCCAGAGCCTACCAGGACTCCCAGGGGCAGATATAACCCTGCAGAGACACTCACAATGATCTACATGCCAACGCTGATCTATCATAGATGCAGATTCCCTTAAGGGCAAGGAGTGGGGGAGGCAGGAGCCCCTTTGGGAGCCCCACAGGGAAGGCCTCCAGGAGGCAAGGCTGTGGGCTGGAAGGCGGAAGGAGGGCAGGTGGCTGGGTGCAGACGTAAGGAAAAGCCTTGTCAGAGGAGGAGCCTGGTGTCTTGAGAAGCTCTGGTCACCCACCCAGGGAGTGGAAGGCACTGGGTGCTTGTGGACAGTGAAGTCAGGGGAGGAAGCCAGCCCAGCCCAGGATCCCCAGGGGTGCACAAAGGCTGGGGTTTCCCCCTGAAAGCCTCTGGGGTCCCAGGAGGAATTTTAATAGGGGAGCCCAGGGTGTGTTGGGAATTTCAAACAAATCCTTCTGGGGCCAATGGGTGAGCTGGGAAGAAGGAAACAGAAGCAGGAGATGGAAGAGAATGGGATGGTCCATGGGGACAGAGAGGCTGCGGTAATACAGAGAAGGCGACGGAGATGATGCGAGTCCAGGGGAACTGGGGAGAGAGGAGAGAGCAGTTGAGAAAGCAGAACAGGGAGGAGAAGAAAGGCAGGGCCCGGCCTGAGAAGGAAGCCCTGAGGGACCTTGGTGGAGAGAAGGGAGGGGGTAAGGTAGGTGAAGAGCAGGCTCTCTACAGAAAAGGAGGCCATGGGGGGCCTCCAACAGAGAAAGGAGTCCTGGAGGGGTCTCCATAGAGGAATAAGCCCTGGGGGACCTCCAGATCGAGAAGGGAGTCTCAGGGAGGGGAGGTGGGTAAGACAGAGAAAAGAGTCCTGAGGGACCCCCATGGAGGGAGGGAGTCCTGGGGTGCCTCAGCAGAGGAGGAAACCCTGGGCTTTCTCTGTAGAGAAATCGATTACAGAGGACGGGGTGTGGGAGCCCTAGGGGGGTGGATCTGAGCATCGGAGGGAGCCCGGAATTACTTCTACAGGAAAAAAGGAGGCTATGGTTCAGCACTAAGTGAGGTTTTAGCTTCTCATCAAAGCATGTGACACACAAAGATGAGCTTTTACACAGGAGAGCCTATGAATTGAAAAATAGTACGGCTTTCATTCCTTTTGAATGTGGGCTGCAACAGCCCACCAGACTCTTGATAATCATGTCCTGTTCTGGCCTGTCCCATCCTGTGGAGGAAGCAATCCCGGGGACATGCTGAACTGGCTGGATATAGCCTCGGTTGAAACCCGCTCTGACTGGATTACACAATGCAAAGGCAAGGCGCCGCAAGAGTAGGCATTGCCCAAAGAGCCCAGTACACCCCGGGGCTCTGTATGCCTGGGGCTCCCACTTTCTTTCCTTCCATTTTTAATGTTAGTAGTTTTCTTGACATATAAGGAGCCCGGTGGCAGAGTGGTTATACCTGGGGCTGCTACTAACAGGAAAGTCAGCAGTTCAAACCCACCAGTCATAAAGCTTTCTACTCCAATAAAGTGTTACAGTCTCACACACCCTCAGGAGCAGTTCAACCCAGCCCTGTGGGGTCGCCTTGAGTCTGAATTGAGTTGATGGCAGTGCGTTTGGTTTGGGTATTGATAAATAATCCACATACCATACAATTCAGTGGTTTAAACATGTGAAAAGAAGTTATATAATCATCACCACAATCAATTTTAGAACCATTTCTTCTTTCTTGTACTTGTTGTTACTAACTCCCTGTCTCCCCCAGTCTCCCCAGCCATAACCCTAAGAATATGATTAATTCAGTTATTGTCTCTATAAATTTACCTATCCTGGATTTCATAAAAAGAAAAACATACCCAAACTAAAAAAAACAACAGCTCTAACTACAATAAAATAAAACACTGGAAAAACCCCAATCCAAAAGAAAGCAGAAAATAACAAAACTAGAATAAATTTACAATCTCCCCCTCATTTTCCATCCTCCTTTCATGAGGAAGGAGACTTAGTGGTGCAGTGGGTTATGCTTTGAACCGGTTATTGCAAGATCAGCAGTTAGAAACCATGGGGTGGGCTTCCGGAGCAAGATGATGCTTTCTGCCTGCCTCAAGATCTACAACCTTGGAAACCCACAGGAACAGTTTTGTTCCATCCCACAGAGTGCCTATGGATCAGCGTCAACTGGATGGCAGTGGGTTTTCTGACACCCTCGAGAAATCTGACAAGAGGGACTAACTCACCCCAATATACCAACCCACCTGCCATTTGGGAAATTCGGACTCCTAGCGGCCCTGTAGCCTTTCTAAGACTCTCAGTGGAGCAGACAACCTCATCTTTCTTCTCAGGAACAGCTGCTGGATTTGAACTATCCACCTTATAGTTTGCAGCCCAATGTGTACCCCCACAGCCCCACCTAGACTCCAGAGAGGGCGCAGGGAAGCAGAATTTATTTTTTTAAAGGTTCCAATTCAGCATGCAAAAGAAACACTTCCTAGGAGCTTGGTTTCGTGTGGGAGAATTTTCCAAGGAAAAGGTTCATTCCAGTGGCTAAGTCATAAGCATGAGGACTGCCTTGAAGGAGCAGGCAGCTAATACTGGTCCAGCAGCCTCAGGGCACTGTGAAGAGCCGCGTTCCTTTCCCCTGTCCAAACCCCACCACTCTTCCGCCTCCACCTGATGGCCTCATAAACCCCCTTGTCATGGGGACAGAGGAGGGTTGACATTTGATTGAGCCTGCGCTATACTCACTTTTTAATAGAGCCAGGATCTTGGGGGAGTGCTTGTCAGAAACCCACAAGGCTCTCCCTCCCCCAGCTTTCCACCCCAACAAAACAAGGACCCACGGTGATGGGGTTTGGATGTCTAGCATCTTGGCAGTAATTAATTCCCAGGACCCACTCATTCATATCCTTTCATGAGACCAAGATTTGGGAAGCTAAAGTGCAAGCATGCAGCGGGTTTCCTTGTCGTGAGATGGAGGAAAGAATGACTGAAGTAATTCAGTCGCCCCACTCAAGCAGCAGGGACCTCTTGACGGTGACTTGTGGAGTGTCCGTGCGGGTCTGAGCAGCGACCGCGCTCGGTAACGTTTTCGGTGGCTGGTTGGGGGCTGTAAATCTTCAACCCTATCCTTCAAGGCTCCTCTGGATGGACTCAAACCTGCAATCGTTCAATCAACTGCCAATCCCATGACCCATCTGCAAACCTCAGGGACCCCCACCTTACGGAGCAGCCTCTACTTAGGTCAGGAGTCCTGGGGGTGATATGGGTTAAGGGTTGGGCCACTGAGAGGTTGGCAGTTTGCATCCACCAGTCTCTCCGTGACAGAAAAAAGAGGCCCTCTGCTTACGTGGAGATTTAAAACCTTGGCACCTTATCGGATAGTTCTACCTTGTCCTATGGGGCCACCATGAGTCAGAATGGATTAGACAGCAGGGCCCTTGCTTTGGGGTTCAGTGACCGTGACATCTGAGGGTCAATTGGAGAGGATGTGAAAGAAACAGGTGGTCCTCCGGCAACAGGAGGGCGCGGGTTACTCACAATGCATACTCCGGAGCCTTCCCAGCATCGATTCGAGTGCCCGTTGCAATCGCAGGGGACACACCGTCCAGCATACGAGCCTCTGTTATCCCGATAGTATCCAGGGCTGCAACCCTGTTTCCCAAATAAAGCGTGTTGTCAATGGCAAGAAAGCAAACATGGATTCATCCGAGCGCAGGACCATGCTGACTGGGAAGCACGTGCTTTTGTGTGGTCACCTTTCCTTCAATCGGTGTGTGCATGTCTCCCTGCCCCCCTTGCCAGGCTGCAGGTCCGGTTCGTGTGGTTCCCGAGGGACCGTGGGACGGTGGGCTCGTGCCTGATGGTGAGATGTGTGGCGGGAACCCAGTAAGGGGGTGGTGGTGTGGGGTGTGGAGGGCGGAAGTGGGTTTCCTCTCCTCAAACCAGTCCTCCTGAGGAGGAGTAGAAGGGTGGATGGTGGAAGAGTAAACAGGGCCAAGAAATCAGTCCTCAGGCTTGAATGGTTCAAGTTCTCCTGGGGTAACTGCTCCCTCTCCAAGTGTGATCTGGGGGCAGCTGTGGGGTAGGAGGTGGTAAGGTAGCTAACCGGGATCCACACAATAATGGCAAAATCACCTATTACTGTCTATCTGAGCAACCGAGGCCAGGCTCAAGTTCTCCTACAGGGCGCCCATGACCGTGGCCCATGCTGTCACACAGAGCCCACACGGAGCTGCACAGAAACCTCACAGACCCAACCTGAGGGCTTCTCCCGGCTTTGTTTTCTTGCTCACTTGTGGTTTTAACGATTTCTATCTGTTTTCAGCTTAATACAACTGCTTGTGCTTCCTATTGAGGGTGTAAGAACATATACTTTGACTCTGAGGAACGGAGACAGAAAAGGATTCTGGGTAAGAATACCTCCTATAGGAAAACGTCAGCCATTCATCGACAGCAGTGGCTCTCAACCTTCCTAATGCCGCGACCCCTTAATACAGTTTCTCATGCCGTGGAGACCCCCCCAACCATAAAATTATTTTCGTTGCTACTTCGTAACTGTCATTTTGTTACTATTATGAATTGGGTGACCCATGTGAAAGGGTCGTTCGACCCCCAAAGGGGTCGCGACCCACAGATTGAGAACCCCTCATCTACAGACATTAAATTGGTATTAGATTTCCATCCCTAAGAGAACCACAGACATTGTCTTCCCTTTGGCAGAACTGAGGGTCGGCATGTGTGCCACAGTGAACGCTATCACAAGCGGATTTTAGTGGTTCCACCTTGGGCTGTGATCCGCATGGTCGGCAGTTCAGAGCCGCCAGCAGCCCCTGGGGAGAAAGACTGGGCTTTCTACTCCTGCAGACAGTTATGGTCACAGAAACCCTCGGGGGTCGCTATGAGTCAGCACTGACTTGATGGTGGTGAGGGTTTTTTTTTGGTATTGATTACAAATGCATTTATGACTATTAGCTTCTTTTACAAATCTCCTATATGCCCTGTGGGGTCGGGAGACGGGACACGATTTCAAGATGAAAGAGAATTTCGATCTAACCCTCTTCGACTGGCACCCTAGTCTAAGTTGAAGGAAACCATGGAGACCTCCAGCTGGCCAGAGCAGGGCGAGGGGGAGCCAGCCCCGCGGGGCTGGAAGCTGAGGCTGCGCAGGACCCAGGATGAAATGGCTCAGCGGCTGTTTGTTGAGAGCTTCTTCCAGTTACCCATGACTACAAACCACCCACAGCAACAAGATTGCAACTTCAAATGAAACGTGCCCTTAAGCTATTAGGAACCAAGCTGAGGCAAAAGAACACATTGCGAAAGAAAACCCCCTTGCTGACTTGATGTGCTATCTATGAACAGGCTTGTCTGAAGAAGTATGAAAGTATGAAAGGAATGCTCCCTAGCTGTAATCAGGACCGAGGGGCGATAGTTTTGCTAATCATGGTGGCATTGTATCTGCCTACAAATAATGTCTATTCAAAGTGCTAAGTACCTAATAACTGTCACCATAAATAATATTATATGAGCTCTGATATCATTGTGGATCATGTTCTGGGCTGCTAATCTCTAGGTCAGCAGTTCAAAACTCGGAACTGCTTCTTGGGAGAAAGAGGAGACATCAAGAAATCAATCAATGAAAGTAAGAAATGTCATCAAGATTTACAGCCTCAGAAACCCATAGGAGCGGCTCTCCTTTGTCCTGTAAGCGTCACTGTGCATTGGCATCCACTCCAGGGCAGTGAGTTTGGCTTGGGATGATATTACATGCTTATAAAAGACGCATCCTTATAAGAAGCAGCTACATCAGGACTGTTTATGACAACATGCATGTGAGTCAAAGTCTTCACTGAACATGCTTTGGGGGTTAGCTAATCTATCTTGATTAAAATTAAAATCACTTCTTCACTTGATTTTCATTCTCTAAGCAGTAAAAACAAAACAACCCATCCATGAGCCTCTCCGATCGAGCACTTGTCAGTTATTGAAAGGCAATCATTTGCTGCTCTTATGCTGCACGTCAGCCCCCGACATTGTACAGTCAATCCAGCTCCTGTATTCAGGTTGTACTGAGGACGGGCTCTCTAAGTGACAGCGAACGCGTCCTGACATGTTATCTCTTACCTTTAACCTAACATATACCATATAGCCTGACACGCTAGATTTTTTTTTTAAGCGATGACGATGCCAACCTTTGCAGTACAGGTTTACAGTCCAGATGATAAAATGACGTCCCTCTCAAGTCCCCAGGGTCATCTCAACAACCTAGGATCTTGCTCTCTCCAAGAGTCCGCTGACTATCCAGGCCACTGGCAGGAAGCAAGCTAAATTTAGGAAAGTTTCATGCCTCGCAGTTGCAAGCATGCGGGCTCCAGCCGACAGGACGGTGGGTGTCAACCTCATCTGACCACTCTTCTTTGCTGGGGTGTCACTGGTTCTGGGGTCAAACGACCCTTTTTCCCAGGGGCCACCCAATTCATCACAGTAGCAAAATGACAGTGATGAAGTAGCAATGAAAATAATGTTATGGTTGGGGGTCCACCACGACACGAGGAACTGTATTAAAGGGCCGCAGCATGAGGAAGGTTGAGAACCACTGCCTTACAGGGATTGGGTCTCCTTTGCCCAGAGGGGTGGGCTCCTCTCCGAAGGGCACAGCTTCATATGATAGGCACATCCATGGCATCCAAACCCTTAACTCCCTTGGCCTTTCCAGGTGGGCTGATGTTTACGGGATTTGTGGTTAAGAGTGCAGGCAGCCATGTGTCGGGCATTGCAATAAATGCTGCCAGTCAATAAAACGGGGAAGCCGTCACCCCTCCCCCAACTCACCCACTTACTCACTCATCACCCTAACTGAAAAATGCCACTACCCTGGGAACCCTTCCCCATCCCACCTCAAGATGTTTAAAAAGCAACGTTACCTGGCTGTTTCTAAGCTCCCCGTAACCTGCTTGCTGCCGGCTTTGAACAGGACGCTGAAGAAGTACCCTCTGTTGCTGTGTGTTATGTCCCAGGCACTGCCCCAGTGCAGCGCCGAAGAGCCACAGCCACCCTGTCCTCCAAGGGGACATCCTGGTCCCTGGGCTCCTGCTGGCTGCGCAGAAGCGTCTGCCACTGCTTCTTATACCTGCTCTTCCTGCTCAGTGCCCGGGCCTGCCTGACTCAGGTAAGGCAGGCTGTCTGCGGCAGGGGCCCCACCTTCAACTTCACGCATGAGTCAGACTGTGCAAAGCGTCCCGAACAGTCCCGGAAGTAAGCACACCGCTCTGTAATTCCCCCGCGAGGTGGGGCGGGCATCACCTTCTACCCACCTAACCCCGCAGACAGTACTAGACGATTAGCAGCAGTAAATCACAGGCTGAGTCACCCCCAAGAATATGCCCTGGGTCAGAGAGAAAACGGCAAATCTGCTGCAAAAGATCTCTTTTCAAGTGGGCGTCTTCAAACCCCTCCTGTACCGTCAGAACACCGGACAATGAATAAGGAAAACCAAAGAACTGCTGCTTTTGAAGGATGGTGTTGGTGAAGAATATTGAATGTACCACGGACTGCTAGAAGAACAAACAACTGTGTCTTGGGGCCAGCCAGCCAGAGTGCTCCTTAGAAGGAGGATGGAGAGGCTTCATGCCACGTACTTTAAACAGGTTCTCTGGAGAAGGACATCATGATGCTTGGTAAAACAGCTGCATCAGGGAAAAAGAGGAAGCCCCTCAATGACACAGACTGACCCAGGGGCTGCAACAGTGGGCTCACCGGTGACAGTGACTGTCAGGGTGGAGTGGGGTCTGCCTGGTCTGCAGCACCTGGCTCTCAGGTTCAGAGTCACCATGAGTCAGGACCGACGCTGCAGCACCGAACAGAACCAAGAGGGCGGTCACCTGAGCGCCACTCCCTCCCCAGGTGAAGGATGTTAAGTGGGTAGAAAAGAGCTAGAGAAAGGACGGACGCAGACAATCTGTGCCGTAATTGCCACAAAACAGCAGTGCTCAGAAAACGACAGCAGGTAGATTTGTGGGCTGAAACTTCAGGTGCAGATCACACTGGGATTGACTGCTATGAAGGGTTCAACAGAATGACAATGTTTGCTGTTTCCTAATAACTGCTCAGAGGTGCCCTGGTGGCACTATTGGATAAGCGTTAGATGGCTAAGCCACAAGGCTGGGGGTTCAAACTCACTAGCTGATCCGCAGGAGAAAGTTGAAGCTATCGGCTCCCACACAATGTTCAGCTTCAGAAACCTTACAAGAGGGTCACTAGGAGTCAAGATTGACTCGGTAGTGGGCAGAAGTTGTTCTAAGCACTGTGCTTGGCCCCTTCTTTAGGAAAGAAATATATATTTGAGCTCAAGATTTCAATCTTTTCATTATATGGCATATTTTAATCAACTGGTGATAAAGCAGGCAGACTGGACCGTAGACAAGGAGGATCTGCTGCATGTGGAAAGTGTGGCAATGATTATGGTACTGGTTGTACATCATTATTAATATAATTGATATCACTAAATTGTACAATGATACATTGGAAACTATTGTGATATATATATATCAACAATAAGGATTTTTTTAAATATCATCAGTCCTTTAAGTATTTGTCGTAAACATATTTTGGCAAATGCATATTTGTTTTATCAGTTTGTACTTCATTAAAATCCAAATTACCAAAAAAAGAAAGTGAAAGGTGGTTTTGCCTTGCAGCATCCAGTTCATTCTGTGAAATTCAACTCTACTAGGGGAGGCCTTGGGAAAGGCTTTGATTAGGCAAGAGCCCCAGGTTTGGCTGTTAACCACAAGGTCAGCAGTTTGAAACCATGGGAGACAGAGGAAGCTTTCTACTCTTGAAAGGAGTTACCATCTCAGAAACCCACAGAGGCAGTTCCACTATATTCGATAGGGTTGCTACGAGTCAGAATGGATACAATGGCAGTGAAATGTTTTTTTGTTTTTTTTTTTAATTTTGTTGTTGTTTTGTTTTTATTTGATTAGGCGAAGGCATGTGGACCCTGGGTCTGCCTTTGGTAACCCAAACCTCAAAACCCCCAGGGCCACCGAGTTGATTCCGATTCAGTAGCATTTCTGAGACGGTAAATCTTTTCAAGGAGCAGACAGCCTCATCTTTCTCGCACGATGCCACTGGTGGGTTTGAACCCTGAACTTGAGGGTTGCCAACTCAACCCTTAACCTACAGTGTCATCAGAACTCCTAGCCTTGAAAGCACCAGGATCTACAGGTAAGGCGCCTTCCTCCCACCCCCAGAATCCACCTGCTTTCCTGTGCCTTTTGAGGCCTTTGCCCGACCATAGCATGTTTCATACCTGAGGCCTTTGCCCGACCGTAGCATGTTTCATACCTGAAGGTCTCACACACTGCCATTGAGTTGATTCTGATTCACAGGCCCCATGGGACAGGGTAGACCTGCCCCTGTAGGTTTCTGGGGCTGGAAATCTTTGGGGGAGCAGAGAGCCTCCTCTCTCTCCAACAGGGTGACTGGTGGCTTCAACTGTGATTAGCACCTTGTGATTAGCAGCCCAATGCCTTCCAAACTACACCAGGTAAATGAAAGCTACCTCCCCCACCCCTACCCCCACCCCCAAGCAGGAACTTGTACCATGAACAGAGCGGCCCCGGATATTCACCTGGAGGAATTTGACAGGAGAGGGAAATTTCCTACCTGGCATGAATCACCAGTATAGTTCGGCGGGCAGGAACACAGCTCCACGTGATGTGCGATTCTTCCAGTTCCAAACTCAGAGGCCTCCTCCAGCCCCACCTGTGCCAAGGTGAGCCGCTGCGTCTCCGTGAAATAGAGGCCTCGGATACGCACACCTTCCAGTCTAGACAGCACCGTCATCAGCTCTCCCCGAGACACCGGCGCTCGGCTGCCTGCATGTCTGAAGTTCCCCTGCATGTGCAAACAGAAAGAAGGGTCTCCCTCAGGTGAGCTCACCTCCAGGGGGCTGGAAGAGGCAGGTGCCCAGAGCAAATCAGAGACCTTTAAGCACGGAAGGATAAAAAGAGGAAACTAGTTACATTCTGAAGAGAGGGTTCCAGGAGAAGCCAAAATCATCAACAAGGAAGCCAAGAAAAAGCCTTTGCCCAGGGCTGCATATATTTTAAATGTACTTTTTGCTTGTGCAAAACTTAGATAAGATGAAATGCATATGGCAATCGATGGCATCATGCAGCCCTGATCATCCAGTGAATGTACACAATGATAACCGCAAATCTTGTCTTGCACACACACTCAACACGCACACACACTCATGTTGTCATAAAAGCTGTATTCTAAAACTCTGTGGGATATTGATGTTGGCTGACCGTATCGTGTGAAGGCCCAGTAAAGACATCGCTCCAGTCCAGAGAATAAAAATCTGGGGCAGCTTGGAGCCAACCCCGGCCTTGGAACCAACTAGCAAACAGGGCGATGGCGGTCCTCCCTTGAACTCCTCCATGTCTGGTCTTGCCTTGAGGCCAGCCCCTCTCCCATCATAACGGATGCCCTTGCTAAAGAATCCCAGGGCATCCGGGAGCCATTGATGGGAATATTAAGTGTCAGAACACACACTCATTCGTGGACTCCTGTCTCAGCTGGAACCCTGCAAGCTTTGTGGCCTAAGAAAACTAGCTTATCGAAGATTCTGAGTGACCACAGTGAAACACTACTCTGAAAACCAGCCTCACGGCCAGAGAGTCGGTTCCACTCAGTGACCTGACTGACAGGACAGCGGAGAACAGCCAGATTGGGTTTCTGACCCATTAAATCTCTATGGAACAGACTGTCTCATCTTCCCCCTGTAGAGTGGCTGGGGGATTCAAACCACTGACCTTAGACATAGCAGCTCAGTGTGTAGCCCACTACCTCAGCAGGACTCCCCACCAGCTAAGGTGGATTGAATCCTTCTTATGCGTCATGCAGTGTCTTATGGACTTCACATCTCATCTGACAGACTCCGACAACAGCCCTGTGATATGTATTAAAATCATCACTCCCATGTCACAAATGAGAAGGTTGAGCAAAGTCAACCAACCAGTGAGGGACACACCAGGATTCAAACCGAGGCAAACCAACTCTGCATATTCTGATGGCAACCTTCATATTGTTGCCTTCTTTGGACTCAGTTCCCCTATCTCTGAAATGAGCACAGTAATCTCTAGGATTACTCTAACCACGAAGATTAAGGTAAAGTAAGTGATATAACACGAACGAAGTGTTTAGCACAGTGAACGTAGTCTAAAAGGCAACAACAACAAAAGACTAAACCCATCCCCATCACAGTGATTCCAACTCTTAGTGAGCTAGAGGGCGAAGTCAAGCTGCTCGGAGGGTTTCTGAAAGTGCACATCTTGGCAGAAGCAGACAGCCTCATCTTGCTCCGGTAGAGCAGCTGGTGGCTTTAAACCATCAACCTCGTGGTTACAACCTAACCCTGAACCCACAGAACCACCCAGGCTCCTAGCATGTAAGAGACAAGTGAGAAATGTTAACTATTATTATTAGCACATATCATAACAATGGAAATTTAATGTCAATTATAATGGCTTGAGGTATAATTTACATATCGTGGTATTCACTCATTTTAAGTGGACAATTCAAAATGTAAAGAGGTATGCAGCCATCACCACAATCTAATTTTAGAAGATTTTCATCATTCCCAGAAAAGAAACTTGGGCCCATTTTTAGTCAGTATCTATCCCTAACCCACTGCTGTAAACTCACCTCTGACGCATGGAGACCCTACATAGGGTTTCTAAGACTTGGAGCCCTGGTGGTGTAGTGGTTACATGTTGGACTATGGCCCACATGGTTGGCAGTTTGGAACAACCAACAGCTCCCCAGGAGAAAGACTGGGCTTTCTACTCCCCACAAAGTTACAGTCTTAGAAACCCACAGTGGGGTCAGCCTTGACTACGTGACGGCAGTTTTTATATCTCTGTGGCTGCACACAGCCTCATCTTCCTCCTGAGGAGTGGCTAGTGAGTTTGAACCGCTGACCTTGTGGTTAGGAACCCTAAGTTTACCAGGGCATTTACCCATGCTACCATTTCTCTGTGCCACACTGTGAGAATTCTCACAGCATCTCAATTTATTTTCACAATGCTGTTGCACATTTAATCATAATAGAGTGTAAACATAACTTGCATGTGCACAGCGAAACGACAAAAAATGTTCATGTGCCTTGCTTTATGGCAATAGTCACTTTGCTGTGGGGATCTGGAAAACAGCCCAAGTATCCGTGGCATTCTTGTATACCAATATTTTATTTGCCTATTGGTTAACTTAAGGAGACTTGGTGGTCTAATGGTTATGCATCAGGCTGTGATCTCAAGGTTGGCAGTTCAAGACCATCCACCACTCCTCAATGGGGCTTTCTGCTCCCGTACACAGTTACAGTTTCACAAACCCCCAGGAGCAGGTCTACCCTGTCTTCCAGGGTCGCTATGAGTTGGCAGGACCTTGATGGCAGTGAGTGAATGATTGATTAGCTTTACCGGTGCTCCTTACTTCTTTATGTGGATTTGAGTTACTATCAAGTGTCCTTGCATTTCAGACTAAAGGACTCTTTTTAGCAATCCCTTCCCTCCGTTTTGTTTTATCATGGCATGTTTTAATTTCTCTTTCATTTTTAAAAGATCGATTTCCCAGAGATAGACTACTTGGTTGATAGTGTGCTTCTTGCAACACTTTGACTATGTTTGCCAACTGCTCCCTGGCTTCCATGGCTTTTGGTGATTAATTAGCTGTTAACTAATTAATCTTATTGAGGCTCACTTGTAGGGGATGACTCATTTCTCCTTTGCTGCTGTCAACATCCTCTTTGTCTTTGTCCCTGCATCCTCCTGGGGATGTTTTTTGTGTCTCTGGCTTGAGTTTTTTGAGCTCCTTGGATGGATCGATTAATCATTTTCATCCTATCAGGGAAGTTTGGGGCCATGACTTCTTGAAACATTTTTCTGTCCCTCCCTCTATCTCCTCTCCTGCGACTCCCGTGACTTCCATTGTGTATGTGCTGGGACACGTGACGACATGGGTCTCTCACTCTCGGCTCGTTTTGCTTGAACTGTTTTCCTTTCTGTTCCTGAGACTGGATCATCTCAATGGATCTGTCTTAAATTTGTTGATTCTGCTGACTGTGGTTGATCCCTTCCAGCAATGAATTTATTTTCAAACATTTTTCAGCTCCAAAATATCTGTTGAGTTCCCTGTCCATCTCTTTATGGATAATCCCTACGCGGTGAGACACCGTTCCCCTGCTTCCTTGTTCTCTGGGCATGCAGGCTTTTGTTTCCCCAGAGGATTTCCAATGGCTGACAAACGTCTTTGTCACGTAAGTCCAACAACTGAGCATTGGTGGGGTAGTTTCTCCTGAGGGTGATTTCCCTCCCTCCATGGGGCCTTCCTTTATTGTTTCTTTGCATGTCTCAGATTTTTGTCGTTGTTATCGGAAATAGGGCATTTAAAATAATGCAATGGGACACTTCTGAAGGTTGGATTTTCCACCCAATAGTGTGTTTTGTTCAGTGTCTTTTCAGAATTAATGCCAGATAAGGATTGAAATGAGGCTTTCTTAGAGGCCTGAAGCCACAAAGTCTCTGAGTTTCAGCTGAGGGTCTCTGGGTGCCTGCTGTGGAGTCTCTTCAACAATCAGCCAAGCAGTTAACAGCTCTGATTGAACCTTCACTTCTTGCTTGCACAGTCTCAAGGTCAGCCAGCTGTGAGAGGTTAAGGCGTTTGCAATCTTTCCTGAACATTCACACCACCCTGGGTGTGTGCATAGCCCTAGGCATGTAGTCATAGGAATATTGAGGAGGCTTTTCAAAGCTCCTACGAACACCTTAGGTCTTGCATTGTACAAATGGGTTTATGGCTTGGCTACTAACCTAAGGTTGACCATTCAACAACATCCATTCACTGAATGTAAAACTTTGAACACAAGTACATTTTACCTTCTTAACTAGTTTATGCATCTGAAGATAGGAAATAAATATACTGTAGTAAAGCCAAACAAACATAAGAGAAAACAAAGCAAGGGGGAAGAAAACTGGAGGGAAATAAAAAATCTTGATATGGAATGCACACAGATTAGAATAAAGAAAGATGTTTAATGTTTTGGTTATTCATGGTTTCTGTTAAAAATGAGAGAAGAGAGAAAAGGCAGTGGGGGAGGGAAGAAGAATTTTAAAATATGAAGACTATGTAGGGAAAACATTTTTTTAAGAGATAGCACGCTAAAGAAAAAAATAAGTGAAACGGACTGACAAACTTCTATTGCAGGATTTTCAGGGGACACAACAGCATGTGTGGTTCAGGTAAGCCAGCCCAGGTGGCTTATGGTAAGGGTGTGCTTATCGCATATAGAAAAGTGCAATAGGTTGTCCAACAGCAAGTTACATCTTCAACACAGATTGTAACTCTTCATATGAACTCAACGAACATGAAATACATCCCTGTAGGGGGGTTACGTGTCCAGCATGAGCTCCTCTCGATCCTAAATGCCAAATGAATTCAAGGGCTCTATCGCTGGGCTCTACCAATTCATTGGAGGCAAACAGGGAGAGATCATACCAAGCACAGCAGTTTCAAGCAGGCTCCACTGAGAGCTCCCAGAGAGTGAAGAGAAACAGAGGGTAACCGCCTGTCCTCTCCAGATAAGAAACTCCAGCCCAGGATGTGGAACTGGAAACACCCCACTAAATGGACTAGAAAATATGACACAGCAAACACTGGTCTTTGTTAAACAGTCACTCACAGACCATAAAGCTTCGCGGTCTTAATGAATCATTCTTCCTAGGAAGGATTTGGAAAGATCTTCGTTTTGTTTACCTTGGGATCCTGAAAAGTTCCTTGTCTGCTAATTAGCCAATTAATCGGCATAATCAACTGAAAGCACAAAAGTCAGGTCCCCCCCTCCAAGATTCTTTTCCCAAGGAGGGGCTGTCTGTCACCATAATGATCATAATTTTCACCACCAACTTTAAAATCAAGTTGGTCCCGATGGAGAACATCTCGGTCATCAGAGAGTCAGGATTGAGGCTCTGTGTTGTGCTGTGAGCACAAACCAACAAAACAATGAGGTTCTTGCTCTTTCATTGTGTAACCACCTCTTACAGGAAGACGCTTGTGCATTTACAACTAAGTTTTTAACAGGGGAACAAGATGCCAGTTATGGTCATCAGCTACCATGAAGTTGGTTCTGACTCACAGCAACTCTATGTATTACAGAGCGAACCATGGCCTGGCCCTGCACCACCCTTACAATTGTTCTTAAAAAAAAAAAAAAAGTGTAATCCTTTTTCCTTTTAATTGTGGCAATAATATCCACAACGGAACATTCTCCAATTGAACCACTTCCACATGTATAATTCAGCACCATTGACTATACAATTCATGCTGTGCAGCCAGTATTGATCTCCTTTACCAAACGACCCCACCCCCACGACCATCCACTCAGTGCTCCCTAAGCAACAATGCTGCCTCCTTCACGCGTGGTCACAATCGTTCTTATTCAAGCCCATTGCTGCAGCCCCTGTGTCAGTCCACCTCATCGAGGACCTGCTTTTCCATTGCCCCTCGACTTGACCAAGATGATGTCCTTTTCTGGGCAATGGCCTCTCCTTAGAATGTGTCCAAGTACATGACACAAAGCCTCTCCATTCTTTCTCTAAGGAGCATCCTGCTGTACTTTTTCCAAGACAGATTGTTTGCTCTTTTGGCAGCCATGGTACTCCCAAAATTCGACACTAGCACCGTATAAAAGTGTTAAAGACATATAGAAATGATCAACTATGAGTTCAGGGTAGTAGTTAAAAGTGCCTTGAAATACTGGATAATTTTAATAATATAAATTAAATACTACTTTTAAGGACTACTTGTAAATAATTAGGGCTGATACTATGATTTCTGATTTGATGGTGCTATTAGTGACTGACGAGTCAGTTCCAACTCCTGGCATCCCATGTACAAGTCAACAAAACATTGCTCGGTCTTGTGCCTCCTTCATGATCATAGGCTGAAGTCCGTTACTGCAGCCACCATGTGCTTTGAATATTTCCCAAACGAGGGGGCTCATCTTCCAGGACCCTCTGGGACAGTGTGGTGTGATGATCCATAGTTTTCATTGCCTAATGTCCAGAAGCACAGAGCTGAGCCTTTCTTCCTAATCTGTCTTAATCTGGAAGCTCTGCTGAAACCGGTCTATCCGACTGGCATTTGAAATACTGGTGGCATACCTGCCAGCATCGGCAATAAGACAGGCTGACAGATGGGTGGCAGTTGGTTTGATAGGCTTTTCTTGATTTAGCTATATTACTCATTGCTTTTATGTGCCGTTTTGTGACTTTTCTATGCAGTAATATAAAGCATTTGTTGGATAATCTCCTGGTCCCGGGGACTGACCAGAGACCTAAAGGTAAAGGGAGCTCTGTGGTGGTAGCGCCTACAAACACACAGGGCTTTTAAGACAGAGTCAGTTTAACTGAAATGCAGAGGAGACAGTATCAAGAGCCCGAAGGATTGTTCAGGCAACGCCTAGGAGCACCACCCTCCATATTTTCATGATTTGTGCTTTACGTTCAAAAGTCAAACGTCATGATTGCTTGAAACGATCGCAAGTTACAAAACAACAAAGACCCGAATGAACCATTTTGCTGCAGCATTGCTTTACCTCGACCAGTTGGACTCGCCCGTAGTGGAGCTGGTCTGGCCGGGGGGTGTTTGGCTCCTCGTAGACCACTGACATCTGCTGACCCTGTGGAAAGCGGAAAGGAGGGCTTCAGCACTTGGGGCGGGATGTTTGGGACTTTGTAATGGACTGATGCCAGAACAGAACACATTTCGATGATCTGTGTTACATGGAAAACCGGACTCTAAATAACAGTTCAGACACTAGCTGGTTAAAAGATTAGAACCCCAATTCTGCCTTGCAGAGCTGGTTAGACCAGATGATGCACAGCGGTACAGATGGGAATTGGAAACGCAGGGAATCTAGGACAGATGAACCCCTCAGGACCAGGG